TGGGAATACACCCGCAGTTGAGAGATATTTTTAGCGGCTGTGATAATATTTTTTATACAAAATGATGAACTTTTATAAACTCTATTTAACTATTAATATAAGTTTAATTTTTGGTGGGTGTTTTGTAAGTGCAATCAATTTTGATATTAAAAATGTAGTGAATATTCAGTTAAATCCTAATGACAGAATTGAAGGATCGTATTTTGGATATTCTTTACTATTGCAAAAAGGATCTAGCCCACTGTAAGTAAAGTTTTTATTAAAGTTATAAGTTTCATTAAAATATATATTCTACCGATTTTTGATATATAGTAAAACCTTCCAATAGCGACCACCCTTATGGTATCAAAAAGCTGGTCGCTTAAGAGAAGTGGTTTTCTAAGAGAGAACAGGAAAATTAAAGCAAATAACCTGCATTTTAGGTTGGTTATCTACATATTAAATATACTTTGAAGGTAATTGTAATTTCAATTTGTCAGAAACATAAATGAATACAATAATATCAATTTACCAATAGGTTGCATACACTTTTTTGGACACGACACTGTACAGTAAATTTTTATTTTTTAATTTTTATTCACATACATTTTATTTGACCTATATCACATTTTATTAATAACATAGATACATTTGTGGACATATCAAAAGTGTTCTTATTAATAAAAAAGATTTCTAAATTTCTGAAACTTCAGAGAGGCTTGAAGTTCAGAGTTAGTGATAGTTTTATTTATTTCTTGTATTTCTTTAAAAATCCATGGTTAAAGACGTAACAGCCCTTAAACCGCTTCTAAACTGGTAGCGATCATAGACTAGTCCGAGCGAAGCTGATCATTGATAGTATATTTGAAACAAGAAATAAAATGGAAAATAGTCAGAAATTAGACATGGAAATACGAAGACAAGAAAAACAGACGTACGAAGAGAGAATACAGGAAATATTGCCGACAAAGGAAGATATAACACAAACATATCGATGAAATAAACATGATATTTACTGAAACTCTAACGAAAGTGGGTAAAGAAATAGTACAGACAACAACAAAAAAATAAAGTTTTATATTCCAGGCAACAAACATTATTATGAACACAAGAACATTACAAGAACAAGAAGACAGAAATAAAATGAAATACAAAGAAATACACAAAACTATTAGAAAAAATATCAAGGAGTGTAAACGGAGAGTACAGGAAGAAAAGATAGAGAAAACAATTGAACAAAATGGAAACATGCTTAAAGCAGAACCTAGGAAACATACAAATTAATAGCATAAGGAGAAAAGAAGGAGTGGAGACCAACAATATAAAAGAAATTTTACAGATAACGCATGAATATTATACAAATCTCTATAAAACAGAACAAAACCAACCCAAGATAACTCTGACTTACAACCAGAACTCAGTAAAAATGAAATAAAAAAGGCACTCAAAAAAAATGAAGAATAACAAATCTCCTGGGAAAGATGAAGTAACTGTGGAACTGCTAAAAAATGGGGGGAAAATTACAGTGTAAGTCCTTTATATACTAATGAATAAAATATTGAACACAAAACCAATACCCACCGCATGGAGCGAGGCAATATCACTATTACTATTTAAGAAAGGCGATAGAAAATGGTCTACATAACAAGAATATAAATGAACGGAGATGTCCGTTTCTAGTGACCGGTGATAGAATCGATACTTATTCGCAGGAGCTTTTAGCAGGAGTTACATTTTCATTATTATTGGAACTAGTGTTCCGGCGAACAACTTAACAACTCGTAAAGATGGCTTAAATAAATCGGTCGACAATTTTTTAAAATGATCTTGTTTCGTGACAAAAATGAAGTCGTTTAATTACACGTCGTCGTTACGAATTACAAGTCGTTGTAAATTGTTTAAGTAACTATCATAATACCATCACCTGACGGACGACAAGTTGTTGCGAATTATAATTCCAATTCGGATACATTAAAATTTGTCCATAACTTAAATAATATTTATAAAAATGAATAGTTTTAGGTTATCTGTTAATATATTTGAAATGCAATTTCATATAAAAATAAATGGTGTATGTTGTGCACACTTTTTATTAACAATATCTGAAAGTAAACAATTGATAACAGTTTTACTTATAAAATTCACATCCTACTTATCTGTGAGTCATAGTGGGATTTTTGTTGATTGATTACATAGGAACTAAAACCATTTAAAAGATTTAGCACTTATGTAGGGATGTTACAAATATTGCTAGATTTAATTTCATGATCGTTGATCATGACCGCTTAGCTGAGATTACGCATAATAATATAGAAGAATAAGATTATTTATTGGGGGTCGTAATCTACAGGTACGTTAAAATATTGGTAGCGAGATTTGATTCGAACAAAGCTTAATTTTGAGTGCCTCTCCTATCGGAGATTGGATATCATTATGGCGATTCTAATTTTATTTACTGCTGTTTTGAATATTTCGTTAGTGGTACAGCCAAACCACTCTCTTAAATTTTTCATCCAGGACATTCTTCTACGGCCTGGATTTCTGCATTCTTGGATTTTTCCTTGCATTTTGTAGTACTTTTGTAGTAGTAGAATGTGTACTTTTGTCGTCTCGTCTGTTGGCCTAAGTATTCAAGTTTTCTCTTTTTTATATTTAGGATAACTTCTGGATAGTTATTTATTCGACGTATTACCTCTTCATTTGTAATTTTATACACCGAACTTATTTTTTGAATACGGCGGTAGCACCACATCTCAAAGCTTACAAGATTTTTAATATTCCTCTGTTTAAGAGTCCATGCTTCAACACCGTAAAGCAAAGTACTGAATACATGGCATTTTAACATTCTAGTTCGTAGATGAATACTAATATCACGATTACAAAATAATTTTTTCATTTTTATAAAGGTAGATCTGTCAATTTCAATACGTCTATTTATTTCTTGATTTTGGTTACCTGTTTCATTGATGAGTGTTCCCAAGTATTTGCATTTACTTACATTTTCGATTTGGATACCGTTTATTGTGATATTAGTGTCATGTATTGGATTCTTACTGAAGGTCATATATTTGGTTTATTTGACGTTCATCCTTATGCCGTAGTTATTACTTATCTCATTCATACTTTCATATAGATGTTGTAGACCTTCAACTGTTCTTGCCATTATCACAGTATCGTCAGCATATCGAATGTTATTGATAACTTTTTCCATTGACTATTATCCCTTCGTTTTGCATGTAAGAGAGCTTCTTAGCATAATTGTTCGCTGTAGATAATAAATAATAACGGTGACAATATACAACCCTGCTGTACTCCTGTACGTATTGGGCATAAAATACCCTAGCTGTCTAGATAAAGATTTAATCAATTTTTTGGAGAGTATGATGCTTTTGTATTTTACAATAAGATTATACATGAAAACAAGAAATGAAAAAGTATAATTTGACTTCGGAATTATCCAAATTTTAAAAACAGAGAAAATCCAAAAGCAGGGGAGATAATCAATAGAATATCTTGATACCTGATGTATCTGATGTATATATATATATATATATATAATATATATATATATAATATATATATATTATATATATATATATATATATATATATATATATATATATATATATATAGTAGTTTTAAGTTTCTTGAACCTTATTATATTTAATATAAAATTAGCGTTTTTTGGGTTTAGGTTCTATATAGATGTATTACATGTGGAACTAGATTTTATTTTCATAGCAATCAACGTTTCGACAGGAAACCCTTGCCTTTGCCAAGATTCAAAACGTAAATCGGGACACAGACATTAACGAACTTATTCAGCAGTTCGTTAATGTTCGTTAATGTCGTTTAATATATATCGTTTTCTGTATCCTCTGGGCTATGCAAAATGTGTAAAAGATTAAATCTTCTGCTATCTCTTTATTGAATTAAATGACCAAATATATGGCCTAAGAGGACAAATTCCTCCTTAGCTGTACAAACGTTATGTACCTGTTGAAATTTCAGTTAAGAATGCCAAAACTGTCAGAAATGTGTTTTCTAAAACAAAAACACCCTTGTCCCTTTTCCCTTCTATCACATACCTTGTGCCGAGTGTGACTCGTGCTACATCGTTCAGACAGGGAGATCTCTGAGAGGGCGTCTTACAACACACCGCAGTGATAATAACTTATCTAAGCATACTTGTGCTCTTGCCCAGCATGCTATTAAGATTAATCACAAAGTAGACTTTAATGAAGTTTAGATTCTTGGCAATGAACGCAATCTCGTTAAAAGGCAGTTTTTGGAAATGTGTTCAATACTGAAACACCCTAACGCTCTTAATAAGAGAACGGACATTAGTAACTTCAGCCAAATTTATCATGCATTAATATTGCAGAATTAAGCTTAATGTGTTGTTTACTTTAAAATTGTCCCCTAAGGTGTATGTCTATTATTATTTTCATTATTAAATAAATTCAAATAAAATAAAATAAAATAAAATTTTCTTACTTGACTTAACTTAATATAGATTTATTGAACTAATATTTTGTTGATTATTTTGTCAATGTATTTTCTTCTTATGGTGCCTATCCGTTCCGGATGTTGGCGATTAACATGGCTATCCTAACTTTGCTTGCTGTTAATTTGAATAGTCAGGCTGTCGATATATTAAACCACTTTCTCAAGTTATGAAGCCAAGAATTCTTCTTCTCCCTGGTCCTCTCTTTCCAAATACCTTGCCCTGAAGAATGATTTGCAATAAGCCGTATCTCTGTTTATTCCTTATAACATGGCCAAGATATTCTAGTTTGCGCTCTTTGATGGTGTTAATAATCTCGCGTTCCTTGCCTATTCTACGTGGGACCTCATCATTAGTCACACGATCCACCCATGAAATTCTTAAGATACGTCTGTAACACCACATCATGTCAATGTATATATCACAATGTTATATATATATATCTATATATATATATATATATATATATATATATATATATATATATATATAATATTTTTTGATCAAATAGTTTAATGAAATTTTTAAAATTGAAATTAATTCATAGAATCTTTATTAATTTCTCAGTTCCAAATTATAAGGAACCTTGGACTATTCGATGTTGAATTTAATCTTCACTTGTGGCTGGCTAACCAGCTACAACTTAGACTCTTATAATATGTGATATTTGGGATCGACCTTACTTGTTTGTTCATTTTTCTCCGAGCCAATCCCTGAGGGAATATGGTGTTCTTAAGCACCTTTTTCTTTCATTTTTTGGTTCGTACTAAAAAGGTTGTCACTTCCCGTGCTCTATGTGTCTAATATATCACACTCTTTAAACTTACTACTCTATTGCACTAGCGGTTGGCAGCTCGCCTTGTTGTCTGTCATACTCTGACTTCAAGGATACTGTCTTTTCACGTGATGGCTTGTGTTTCTAAATTGTCGCTTCCATTTGCCTGTTGCATCTTACAACCTTTGGAAGCCAATAGTGGTTACTTCATTACACCTTTTAATATTACTATAATAAAATCTTAATCACTTAATCACAATGTTACCTAAAGTAAAATTTAAATTTAACTAATAATATACTGTTGCAAGTGTGATCTTATGATCTCGTCAGTTCTCGGCAAATAATTGTTTTTTACAAAAGTTTTTTTACATACTTTTTATATTACATGTACAATAACCACATGGTCTTTTGCTGTTCTACGTTTGAGTTAATTTTTAAACTGTATTTAGTTTCAATTAATTGTTTACACAACATAACTATTTTATATCCAAAGTCTTAAGCTTCTTTAGGTATTTAATATCATTGACTGCTACATGACATTTTGAGGTAACACACTTATAATGACTTTTCTATGGATGTTTGGTTTTTCATATTGTTCCTTTTAGATGAACTGATAGTGCTTTCTGATTAGAAAGCGAAACGTCTTCAATAAATAGATGAAGTAGCCACCTTCTTTGTCTTTTTTCTCCACCTTTCTCAAACCTACCACTCTTCGAGCGATCTTTAATTTATATTGGATTAACGGACGTACTACTTTTCTTTATATAAACATATATAAAAGAAAGTTTACATCTTTTAGCAAAAGCTTGCTATCGCTTTAATTAATTGAAAAGCCAAATGTCCCGTGTCTGAATCCTTCAGATCACATATCTTTGGTGTCAATGTCATCTAATTCAGGTCAAATAAGTCGGTAATTATTGATCTACCTCGCTAATCGCTGACAGTGATGGCACTGCCAATTTTCTAAAAGAAATATGAAGTATGACGCCACCAAAATATATACAAATATATACCCAACAGTGGCTTTTTCAGAATATATTGAACGCTTTTGGATTACATCTAGCTTTTTATTGTCTTAAATTCGACAGTTCTGTTTGTTGATGTACCTTTTCATTCAAAAATGAGACTTTATTTTAAAAAAAACTAGTTCGTAGCTGTTCCATAGTCCATTTAAGCCAACACACGTTGTTGTGACCACTCAAAATTTGGCAATTTGTAGTCTGTGAAAGACTGAGTTAGAAAGCTGAAATAGAAAAAAATGGAATATACAGAAGTTAACAGATGCAACTGTTGCAAAACAGTACTGAGAAAATATTACCAATAGGTTAAAGAATTAAAGTCTAGAGTCTATAAAGAAAGATATTGAGTCAGCAACACAAGATGAAATAGGAACCGATACTTAATATAGAGAAAGAAGAAGGAAACCCGGAAGACGAAATCTGTAAGATAAGCGAAGCAGACGAGAGGAAGGAGAATCCACCAACGATCCTGGAAGTTAAAGACGCTGTAAATAAACTAGCCAGAAACAAGTCACCCAGAATAGATAATCTCCCAGCGGAATTATATAAAGAAGGTAGCCAGGATATCATAATAGCGATACAGCAGCTTATAAAAGAAATATGGATACAGAAGTCCCTTCTCAGTGATTGGAATATTGGAATACTTTGCATCATATACAAAAACGGAGATATCTTTAAACGCTCTAACCATCGAGGAATTACGCTCCTAAATGCAGAGTATAAAATATTTTCCAATATACTATGCTATCGTATGGCACCATATGCAGAGCGAATCATAGGACAATACCCGGCTTGTTTTAGAAGTGGTAAATCAACAATTCATCAGATTTCAACCCTGAGACAAGTTCTAGAGAAAACACTGGAATACGGTGTAGATATGCACCACATATTTATAGAATACAAAGAGCCTACGACTTTGTAAATAGAAGAGAATTGTTTAGAGCAATGACAGACCTAGGATTACGAAATCAGTTGGTAAGTCTAACCAAACTCACCCTTGAAAAAGTTGAATGCAGAGTACGAATCCAGGGGAACTCTCTGAACCTTTTAAAACAAATAACGGACTACACCAGGGAGACCCACTCTCCTGTATACCATTCAATCTAGCTCTAGAAAAGCAATCAGCATCAGAGGCGTACGTAGCACCAAAGGAAGCGGCTACAAAAATGCGTTTAATAATAAAGACCAATAAAACGAAATACATGAAAATAGGTACGCAACCACACATACTACGGCCACTTGTTATAGAAAATGACGTCATCGACGCAGTTAACGATTGTATACCTGAGCACGCTCGTTAATACTAAAAATGACACTACCGTAGAGATAAACCGCAGAATTTGTACGGCTAATAGATGCTATTTTGGGCTTAACCTCCTTTTTGAATCTACAGTTATATCAAGAAATACAAAAGTAAAACTCTACAGAACAATAATACGCCCAGTCCTAACATGTGGTTCAGAAACAAAAAGCAATGAAAACATGTTAGGATGTTTCGAAAGAAAAATGGTAAGGAAAATCTATGGTGCGGTAAATGAAAATGATGTTTGGAGAAGACGATACAACTTCGAACTCTATAGAATATACCAGGAACAAGATATCGTTAAACACATTAAGATAGGACGTCCGAGGTGGCTAGGCAATGTAATGCTTGAGCAAACCTACCCATCTAGAAAAACGCTCCTTGATAGACCTATTGGTCAAAGAAAAAGAGAAAGACTCAGAACAAGATTCCTAGATAACATAGATCAAGCTATAAGAAATATGGAAATACGTGCTTGGCGGAGGAAGGCGATGGGTATGGACGACTGGAAAAAAATTCTTGGAGAGGCTAGGATCCACACAGGGTTGTAAAGCTAAAATTATGATAATGAAAGGCTGAGTTTTTACAAACACCGTCAATTGTCTCGGATTCTTCTGCACACTCAAACGGATTGATGCAATGTTTATGGTAGATCTTTCATTTCCTCGACGTACTGGTGTCAAAAAAAATACTATGAAACCAAAACTTCTTCTGTAAATGCTATAAATTTAATAAAAAATTAAAAATTTCCAAAACGGTTTTAGAAAGTTTTCAATCCTATCGAGCATCATCAGAAAAAAACCGAAAAGCAAGTAAAATTTTGACCATTTACACATTTGTTTTAATTTTTAACGTGCTAATATTGATTTTTAGTTTTTTTACTAACGACAGTTCATATATAATAGAAAACGTTCTGCATATTTACAAATCTATTTTTAAAATTTTCAAGTTTTTACATCATAGCGTATTTTTTAAAACTATGGTATACAGCCAACCAGTGGTATTATCTCTTTTAAATTTTACTGGTTGTTTAATTTTCTCACATGCGAAAAATCATGTCGTTTTTCGCTGTGTTATTAACTATCCTTATATCATAATATTACAATCATTATCCTAGTCCAACCCTTAATAACCCTTTCTACTTACAGTTCAACCCCCTCTCTTAAGAAATACAGACAGTTTCAAGATAGCAAAAAAGAAAGACACTCTCTTGATTATCAGCTGTCGATAAGGACAGAACTCTCTTAGTTTGGCCATCGCTAGAGCCAGACGCTCTCTCTCTTTCATTCTCTCTCTCTTCGCTTATCAAGAAGAACAGCCTCTTGGCTGTTTTTCTATCGTAATTACCTCTTTCCCGCTTTAGTTACGCGAGAAATATCGAAAATACTGTATTAAATCGTGTGCAGACAAAGTGTGCTCTATATCGTGATATATTTGCGAAACACGTGTTCAAAAACCGGTGCATCGGACAGATTTCGCGGGTGAAGAATAACCACGAGTGAAGACTGGAAACAACCGTGAGAGTGTGGAGCAGAAAAAAATATTGGTAAGACTTTCTATACACTTATTTTCCTATTGTCTGTATACCTTTTATTACATATCCTAATTTTATTGAACCAGCCCTATATAATACAGTCCACATACACGGAAATTATATTATCTCTAATAATTTCCCACATACGTACACACCCTTTTTGTACACTGGTGTTAATTAATTGTTTACTGACTCAAATTTATTCAACACAATCCTAATGGTCATCTTGTAGGACGATTATGACGAAAGTAAGATGGGCGAAGTGTATAGTACGATAGATATATCCATCCATGGTAATTGGTCAAAATATATTGAATTTAGCTTCAACAAGCTACCAACTGTTAAATTTTGGAGGTCCCTATTGGAAAGCTTTTTACGTGTATTTCTTCATTTAGTATAGTACTTATAGTTATTTGTTAATCCATGATTACTTTCTTTCAGGGTAATAGTAGGGGCTCCAAAATTCAGTAAAAGTACTGGAGGTAGAATATTTGCATGTGATATTTTAAATAATAATGGATGTGTCCAGTATTCCATAGAAGTTGGTAAGTTCATTCTTAACCTAAGGTAAAAAAATAATTTATGACCTAGATAAATGCAATTTACAGTATAACTTTGAAATCCAACTTGGGTTACTTTTTTAAATAATAAAGTCAACAAAATAGAACTATATTTCAATATTTTATTGGTATGAAAAATAACATGCATCAAGATGTTTTGGCTGAAAAATGCTTTCTTCTTTTTTTAAGTGCTCTCTATTAATGGATAATATCAATTACTATGGAAAAACTTCTCTCTATTCTCTTCTTCTTGTATAACACTTAAAGCCTAGCCTAGTTCACTGTGATGAACTCTTTCTATTTCTCTTCTAATATAATTTATAATTATTTGGACGATGTAGAATTTTATTTTTTTTGTGTTCATCATCATATAACGGGGGTCCTACGGCGATTGCCGCTTCCCGCATTTCAGCCTCCATCTTTTCCTATCTCTCCAATCTCCCTCTTCTAAGCCTCTAGATTGCATTGTTTTTGTAATTTCTCTTCTCCAGGAATTTGGTGGTCTTCCCCTTTTCCTTCTTTCTGGCGGAACATACATTAAGGCTTTCTTTGGCCACCGCTCCTCCTCCATTCTCATCACGTGACCATACCATTGTAATTGCCTTTCTTGTATTCTATTTGAAAGAGTATCTCTAATTCCTGTACGGTTTCGTATTTCCTCATTCCTGATTCTTTCCATTCTCGATACTCGACATGACCTTCTAAGATAATCCATTTCCACAACGTCTACTTTATCTCGTTCATTCTTTGTCATCGTCCAACTTTCGGCACCATATGTGGTAATTGGTTTTACAATTGCTCTGTATACGCGAAGTTTGGTATCCATCTTTATTTTATTAGACCACAGTAATGAATTCAGTATTCGAATGCATTTTTTCCCTTGGGTTATTCGGTTTTGTACATCTATCTTAACTCTGCCATCTGCTGATATGATGCTTCCTAGATATTTATACTGGTTGCAGCCTTTTATGACTGCGTTTTCAAGCCTCAGATCTGTGGTATTTCCTCCAATTTTTAAATATTCTGTTTTGCTTATGTTTACAGTAAGCCCCCATTTGGCATATTCCTCAAATAATTTTAGATTCATATAATTTATATCTTCCTCATCGGTTGCAACCACCACCTGATCATCTGCAAACAACAATGTATACAGAGTTTCTTGTCCCACTTCGATGCCCATAAATCTACATTTATTTCTCCAATTCCTCAATGCTTCTTGGACGTATATTTTAAAGAGTGTCGGTGACAAACAGCATCCTTGCTTTAGGCCTTTAGTGACTTTAAATTCATTTGAGGTTCTGGTTCCAATTTTTACACAACTAACTGCATTTTCGTACAATTTATATATCGCTCGGATATACGTCGAATCCAATCCGGACCTTTTGAGGACCTCAAACATTTTCTTTAACGGGACACTATCATATGCTTTCTCAAGGTCTATAAATACCAAATGGGTCTCTCTACTTCTTTCCACACGCTTTTCAATTATTTGTCGTAGGATAAATATATTATCAAGGCAGGATCTCCCGGTACGAAAGCCGCTTTGTTCTTCAATATCTTGTATCTGTCTTTCAACCCTCTTCTTTAATATTCTGCCGTACAACCGGCCCACAGAGCTCGTCACACTAATACCTCTATAAGTATTAGTGTGACGAGCAGTGTACGAACAGTCTCTTTTATTTCCTCTCTTATATATGGAGCTTATATAAGACTTATTCCAATCTTTAGGAATTTCCTGGTCTCCACACATACATTTATTGAAAAGGTCTACTATTAATTCTAAAAGTGCAGTCGGCCCATATTTAACCAGCTCTATGGGAATGTCTCCAGGCACTGCGGCTTTTCCGTTTTTAACCTCTTTTAAGGTTTCCGTCAATTCAGATAATGTTATTATAGGGATTTCCTGTCTTTCGTCTCTGTTGTCTATTAATTCCCTTATCTTTTCCCATCTGTACTCTACTCTATCCTCTTTCAGCAGTTTCATATAATATTCTTCCCATTCATTTAACTTTATGAGAGAAATGTTGTCTTAATTTTTCTCATTTTTCCTAAACTGTTTTAATGTTTTCCAAGCTTGCGCCACTTTTGTTCCACCCATAAATCTGTCCAGTTCATCACACTTAGCCTCCCAGTTTATATTTTTCGACTTATCCACGTCTTTTTTAACTTCTCTATTCCATTTAGCGTATATTTCTCTGTCTTGAGGATCTTTGGATTGAAGCCATATGTGATATGCTTGTTTTTTCTTGAGAACTTTCTCTTCTAGTTCCGTTGACAACCATTCAGGTTTTCCTTTTTTCCGATTTTCAACTTTTCCCAGTGCTTCATTTGCCGCTTTATGAATATATTTTTTAATTACCTCATACAGACTTTCGGGGTCTAAGTCCTTTGTTTCTATATTTTTTATTTTCTGATAATTCTGATTTTCTGATAATTTTATATAAGAACTTTGTCGAATCTTGTTTAAAGCTTTCCAGGTTATATTTTATGTTTTCTATGGTTGTTCCTATGTCTGTTACTTCATCATTTTTGTGACTTGATTGTTCTCTCTTAAATGTCACCATTACTTTTGCAATAATCATATGGTGGTCACTTTCACATTCTGGCCCTCTAAACACCTTCACGTCCTTCGTTTTTAGTTTAGAATCTTTACGATGAATGAAATAGTCAATTATTGATTTTAAATTCCTGGAGTTAGATTTTTTGTGTTACAATATTTTTATCAGATAACTCGGTGCTTTTGTATTTACCACAGATAAAAGTTGGCTGTCTTTTTTTAATAGTTGTAGAATTGCTTCATTTTACATTTGTGCTTTATTTTACATTTCAGACAGCATAGTCAGAAATCAAATAGACTATATATTAGTTAAAAATAGATACAAACACTCAATTCAAGCAGTAAAAGTATACCCCGGAGCAGATGTCAACTATGACCATAACCATGTAATAGCTAGAATCTACGTGTAACTCAAAAATATTGTAATACCTAAAAATAAACCAAAGTTTGATTACACAAAATTAAGAAAAAGAGAAATACATTAAAAGGTGATCCAACAAGTCAACTCAAATCTAACAGAAGTGAGGGAAGAAATCTTAACATCAGAAGATGTCAATGAAAAGTGGGACAATATTCAGGAGGCATTATTAAATTCTGCAGAAGAAAATTTAAAGCCTGAAAAGACAAATAAAAAAATAGAAGTGGATTACTTTAGAAATTCTAGCATTAATGGAAGAGAGGAGAAAAGCCAAAGGGAGAAATGAGCCAAAATATCAAGAACTACACAGTATAATTAAAATAGAGATAAAAAAGGCCAAGGAAAAGTGGTTAACAGATCAATGCATAGAAATAGAAGAGTATGACAGAAAATACGACAGCTTTAATATGCATAAAAAGATAAAAGAATTAACAAATACCAAAAAGCGAGCACACTATGGGATACTCAAAGATGATAATGGTAAACTTACTGCAGACATCAAAAATAAATTAAGGTTTTGGCAAGAATACATAATGAAACTATTCGACGATGATAGAATAATACAAGAAGAACCACAGGAACAAACAGGACCGAAAATAATACTGTGCGAATTAGAACAGGCAATTAGAAATGCAAAGACTGCAAAATTAGTAGGCCCAGATCAGATATCCACTGAGCTAATTAAATACAACGGGAGTAATACCCCAAGAGTGGTTGCTGTCTACGTTTGTAACGCTATAAAAGTTAGTACATGCGACAGAATGCTCCAAATACAGAACAATTTTCTTCATAAGCCACACACTTAAGATATTTCTCAAAATATTATTGTACAAAATGGAAGACTATACAAAAAATAGAAGAAGATATTGATGACACCCAGTTTTAATTCAGAGTAGGACTAGGAACAAGAGAAGCTCTATTCGCTTTTAACGTTGTCGCGCAAAGACGACTAGATAAGAACCAGGATCTCTATGTCTGCTTTATGGATTATCAAAAGACTTTTGATAGAGTTCGACATCAGAAACTCGTGAAACTGTTAAAAGAAAATAATGTGGATAGTTGAGATATGCGGGTTATTGTCAATCTATACTGGAATCAAAAAGCAAAGGTAAGAATAAAAAATGTCGATACAGAAACAATAGAAATCAAAAGAGGTGTTAGATAGGGTTGCGTGCTGTCCCCATTATTATTTAATCTGTACAGCGAAGCTATTTTTAAGGAAGCAATATCAGAGGAACAACAGGGTATATCAATAAACGGAAAAATCTTAAACAACATAAGATTCGAAGATCACACAGCTGTTTTTGCAGACAGTCTAGAAGCATTCCAACGCTTAGTGAATAGATTACATCAAGTCAGTATCAAATTTGGACTACAAATGAATGTTAAGAAAACCAAGTTCATGCCTATTTCTAAGTAACATACATTGGATAGCTTTGTGCCCTCCAAAATGAATTGGCAGGACCCTGGTCTACCTGGCCTTTCGGCATACGACCGTTAGCGCTCCCACTGCCCCTACAAGTCCGACACTAATTGGAAGTGGCACGATGCCGAAACATCGTGGGGCTCCACCTCCCCCGTAGTACCTGTGTTGCGGGTCACGCCACCCTTCCGTGAATCCTCCCCCCGGAGGGGGAAAGGCACGCAGGTGGTGGAATACCACCTCGCACGTAGACAGGTCGCCCGCCGAGAAATCACTCCTCTACCACTCGTTAAATCATTCCAAGGTGTGGTACGTGCCGGGTCACCCGCTCCCTTCCACGGTGTCAGCTTCCGGGGAGCCTCCGTACCTGGCTCGTTCAACCACACCCGGCTCTTGTGGAAAATGAGAGTAGAGTGGTCCCACGAGGTGCTCGTCTCGGATACTAGGAATGTTGACCGGTAACTGAGATGACTAAGAATCCCTGTGCGTTTTCTACCAACCCGACACCTCAAACGACGGCCCTCCACCTCTCATATCCGCCCATTAGTCGCCTCTTACGACAGGCAGGGTCTTCTGGCCCCGGCCGTATTCTTATCTCCTCGAGCCGGAAGGAGTAAGCAACATACAGTAGAAAGGCTAGATATCGAGGGAAAACAAGTAGAAAGAGTGAATACCTACAAATATCTGGGAACCTGGGTAAATGAAAACAATGACCAAGCTAGAAAAATAAGGACACGCATTGAAATTGCAAGACATGCATTTATAAAAATAAAAACAATGTTTGTCAATCGAGACTTTCCTCTGGATCTAAGGATAAAAGCCTTAAGATGCTACGTGTTCTCGACTTTTTTGTATGGAATAGAAAGTTGGACACTAAAAGTGGATAATATAAAGAAGTGAAATCATTTAATATGTGGTGCTATAGAAGGATTTTGAAAATACCATGAACCCAACGAGTTACAAATGCAGAAGTGTTAAAAAGGCTACAAAAGAATTGCGAGTTCATAAAGCACATCAAAACAAGAAACTGGAATATTTAGTCCACATTATCAGAGGTTCGAAATATGATATATTAAGGCTCATAATGCAAGGTAAAATCAGAGGTAAAAGATCCATAGGAAGACGAAGAATTTCCTGGCTCAGAAACCTAACAGAGTCGTATAGTTGCAGCTTAGTAGATCTTTTTAGAGCAGCCGCCAATAAGGTACGGATAGTTGTGATGATAGCCAACCTCCGATAGGAGAAGAAACTACAAAAAGGAGACATTTGTGCTGTCCAAGGTATTCTTAGCATTCAACGATACATTTACATATTGAAAGCTTCTAGCTCTATTCGCGATTAGAGTTTTTAAAATTAATGTCTTTAATTCATAATATTTCATAGTAGTCAAGTAATATTAACCATATGTAATATCCCTCTATACTTACGAAGCAAGGTATATAACTCCTGTATAATACCGGTGCTCACCTACGGAGCACAGACATGGACATTTACACAGGCCAATTTGGATAGGATAAGGAAGGCACAAAGAGCGACGGAGAGACAAATGTTGGGTGTATCACTTAGAGATAGAAAACGTAACCAGTGGATCAGAACCAGAACAAAGACAGTAGACGCGATAGAACAAGCAGCAAAACTGAAATGGAAATGGACTGAACACAATGAATGTCTCCAAGACGGACGATGGAACAATGCCATCGGAAAGTGGCGTCCATACAATGCAAAGAGATCAAGAGGTAGACCACAGATGAGGTGGAAAGATGACATCAATGACATCGATGACATCAATGAAAGATGACATCAATGAAAGATGAAGAGAACTGGGGGAGACCTATATCCAACAATGGAAGGATAGAGAATAGGTTAAAATATATATATAATATATATATATATATATATATATATATATATATATATATATATATATATATATATATATATATCCCACAAGTTTTCGTCTCTGCTGCAGATTAAAATGTCAATTTTTTCACGGTTTGTTTGAACCGATTTTATAGGATTTCTGTATGATTTGTATATAAAAAAGTAAACAATTTGATTTCTGATGACGTTATATTGGTAATCTACTGGAGATTTTTATATGTGGAGTCTCTTGGTCGGCAGATTGTAATAAGTATTCGCAACGAAAAGTCGTTTTCTTTGAAGAATTAAGCTAATCTTCCCCCTCTCTCGTTCGTTAAGAGTCACCAGTCCAGATTTTTCAATAAAATCTCCACCACTTTGTCTACCGATTTTTACATTTACATCTCCCATTGCTGTTGTAAAATCTCTAAATTTGGCTACGTCTAATCAATCAAGCAATCAAGTAATCAGTGGAATTGAACCCAGCATGTGAGACATGCACCCTCTTCTAAAAATGATATGTAGGTACTACAAATCATTGGAGTTAGGGGATTCATCCAAGTGGATCAAGAACGACTTCTTCCCGCTCCAATACTTCAAACCATCTTTGAGAGGCTAAAAATCGGAAAATACACGTCACATGGGAGTCCTGGGTACAATGATTTCTACATAACATATTTGTCCTAGTTAAGCTGCAGATCGCAAGGGATTCTGCAGCTTAAGTAGGAGAAATATATTACGTGGAAATAAAGCTTCATTCTCTTAGAGTGCCCTCTTCCCACAGAGGTTGACAATCATAATATTTATATATTATTATGTATAAATCAATCGATCTGCATTGATACCAATCACGTAGATTAAATAAAATCGTTCTACGGCCAGAGTCAGAATTATAGTTTATTCGTCTTCCGGGTTTGGACCGTGTCATTTGTGAGTGACCCAAAAGTGGGTTCATCTCATTCATGAGATGAACCCACTTTTGGGTCACTCACAAATGACACGGTCCAAACCCGGAAGACGAATAAACTATAATCACGTAGATTCTTTAACCAAGAATTATGCCTTCGGCCAACAGATATTCTTTCCCTGCATTAGAAGCTGGAGGCATTTGAGATGTGGGCGTACCGAACAATGTTAAAAATCTCCTGGAAGGATATGATAACTAACCAAGTTGTATTAGACAGGATGAACAAACAAAAGGAGGTCGTATTGAGTGTTAAAATGAGGAAACTACAATACCTGGGACATATTACACGTGGGAATAAATATCAACTGTTACAACAATTGTTCCGAGCGGCAGCCTCCAGGGTCAAAATTGCCATGATGATAGACAACTCTCGTAGCGGAGATGGCACGTGAAGAAGAAGAAGAAGTCTCAAAATTTCATAAACAATGTTATACTGTTTATTTTTAATTTATGGATTACCACTCAAAAAAGTATTTATCGCCTTTGATGGCTATCCATTACAATACAATATATATATATATATATATATATATATATATATATATATATATAAATTTTTTTAGGTAACAATGGCACTTTCAATGGTAACTTTTTTGGTTCTTCACTTGATGGCAACGATGAATCCGGCAAAGCTTTTATTGTAAGTAATTAACCAGATGTTCAAAAAATTGTTTTAATTTCAACTTTTGTAGGCGTGTGCTCCACGAAAAGTATTACCAGTAGGAAGAGGACCAAGTCTAAATTACTTTTTAAAGGGATCGTGTTTTTTTAAAAGAAACTCTTCGATTACTGAAGGGGGATACACCGAACTGATGCCTTTAAGAAGAGAGAGTAAGTTTATTATGATATTCTTTTAGAGTTATTAATAATGGGTATGCAAAGGAGAACTGGAAGAGAACTAAAGCATAATCCTTGATATAGTTATATTAACAACTAGCTGACCCCCCGAACTTTTTACCGCCAGTTTTCTTGCCGTAAATACTGTCTAAGGTTTTAGTAATTATTAGATTTATAGCAATGCATTGTAATGTACAACATTTTTCATTTTTCCCTTCGGAGAAAAAACAAATAGTGCTGATGGTTTACTGACTCTCGAGCACGTAACCTACATATATATGTAGATGCGCAAAACATGACAGTTAAAGGTTTATTATACAAACTTCTTATAATAAACCTTGCTATTTATTAATAATCATTTTCAAATGCAAGGTACACTGGAAACTGGAGACGTTTAAATTTAAAAGAACTATCAGTTAGCATAACTGGTATTCTTGGAATAAGAACATCGCTTTTAAACTTTGCTATGAATATAGTAGCTGCAATCAAATTTTTTATGATTTTTTAACAGTGAGTCTTGATTTGTTGCACAATTTTGGTTGATTCAGATTGCCAAACATAATTATCACAGATTCAACTTTAACCTGTAAATTATGTGGCGGTTGTCCTGTAAATTTTAATGAATTTGGGAATTTAGTTAGATAATTAACTACTTCATTTGGATTGATAATTAAATCTATTAACTTGTCAGTAAGTGAGTGCAGTTGTCCATGAATTTGACACTGAATTTTTATATTTAAATCATCCAAAATATATACATCCTTTTTGGATATATACATTCCAAAAACACTTTTGATATTAATTCATCCTTTGACATTGCGAATTGACAAACATTTGGTGGATATGAAATAAGCCTAGTAGAAGTATCTACATAAATCTTTACATTGGCAAAATCTAAAACTGCATTTGAAAATATTTTTGGCGATGTTATTTTGTAACGCCACTCGCATATTTGTTGTCAACATGGACATTTTACAATTGGATGTCTTTAAGCAAGTGTTTATTTCATCAGCAGCTGTTGACACAGGAATGACTGGCAGCAGTTGGCGAAAGTCTCCAGCAAATAGAATCATCGCAACTCGGAATAAGTTTTGATTACTACGCAAAGATTTTATTACATGTTGGTTTATCTATGAATTGCAAATTTAATGGCAATTTCAGCGCACAATGAAGGTGTGTCCACCTTTTAACAATGTAGCAGCGATTCCAGACGATGCTACAGCCAGGGCTATTTTACTTTTTGTCGGAGCTGTATCTAAAATAATGAAATCAAGAACGCCTTACCAACTTCACAGGTCCATAAAAAAATCCTCCATTACCAACATTTACTGCATTATTAATTATTAAATAGTAAGCCATTTTTTGTTGTTGATTTACAAGAGAGATGTTACTTTGTACGTATTAATTCAAAGCATTTCGATTGTATTGTTGTTCTCGTTTAAATTCACGATTAAATGTGTCGTGTATAAAGCGATTTGGTGTAGGGATTACTAATTAATGCAACATATTTTCAGACATTATTACACACAAATCACCTTTTGATCTTATTGTTGAATCTTCTAACGAAGGTTGGCGATCACTTCTTTAAACGCTTTCCATCTTTTGAAACGTGAAATATATGTTCAACACTGAGGTTAGTTCAATCTCTGATATTTCTCAGCCAATATTTCTTTTTTCTTCTCAAGCCTTTTCTTTTCTCTAATCTTCCTTGCATGATGACGTACAGAAGAGAGTATGTATTGTTCCATAAGTCCTCTAGAGATTAGAAAACAACCATTTAAACGAAATTATGCCCTATGGTTACCTGTCTAAAAATAATTTAGACCCGCTGTTTAAGTATTCAAAGCTTATTAATTTAATAGAGTATTTTTTTGTATATATGACGTGCAGAAGAGAGTATGTATTGTTCCATAAGTCCTCTAAAGATTAGAAAATAACCATTTAAACGAAATTGGGCCCAATGGTTACCGGTCTAAAAATAATTTAGACCCGCTTTTTAAGTATTCAAAGCTTATTAATTTAATAAAGTAGTTTTTTGTATGTATGACGTGCAGAAGAAGTATGTATTGTTCCATAAGTCCTCTAGAGATTAGAAAATAACCATTTAAAACGAAATTGGGCCCTATGGTTACCTGTCTAAAAATAATTTAGACCCGCTTTTTAAGTATTCAAAGCTTATTAATGTAATAAAGTATTTTTTTGTATCTATGAGGTGCAGAAAAGAGTATGTATTGTTCCATAAGTCCTCTAGAGATTAGAAAATAACCATTTAAACGAAATTAGGCCCTATGGTTACCTGTCTAAAAAGAATTTAGACCTGCTTTTTAAGTATTCAAAGCTTATTAATTTAATAAAGTATCTTTTGTATGTATGACGTGCAGAAGAGAGTATGTATTGTTCCATAAGTCCTCTAGAGATTAGATAATAACCGTTTTAAACGAAATTGGGCCCTATGGTTACCTGTCTAAAAATAATTTAGACCCGCTTTTTAAGTATTCAAAGCTTATTAATTTAATAAAGTATTTTTTTTGTACCATTTAGATCCAGTTGGAAGAGTAGGACGTGGGGAGTACTATTATGACAATGCTTTTGGACAAGCTGGAATTGATTTATTTTTTAGCAGAGTGAGTGTTACATTTTTATTAAGAGTACTTATTTTAGATTTTTGTTATTACTAGAAGCATTAGAGTGGTCATCTTCATCGCATTCTATTTTTGACATAGTTATATAGAAACTTGAAAATTTAGGACTTTTTCTAGATCTATTTGATGATTACAATTTCTCTTTTACAGGTACTTAGTGTAATTGTTTTTTAAAAACGTTAATGCTTCCTAGAAAAATGTGGTCCTTATGACAGCTATTGTACTTTTCTAGAAAGTTTGTACGTCCTCCTCCTGTATCATTTTTCCTTTGTAAGGATGTGTTTGACTGTTTCTGTCCAGTAGTCTCTCTCCTGTACGTGTTGTTTTGCTTCGGAGGATGATCAACAAGTCATGTCATTTATTTGGTCCAGCAAAGTCACAAAAATATCGGCAACAGTCAAACACACAAAAATTTGAAAGAACATTGACATCACAAAAAACACAAAGTTACGCCTTGTTTGAGCATTCATATTTCCTATCGCCACCTATCCTTCAGAAACTTGGACAATAAAAAAAGCCGATTCAACGCGTGTAATGGCATTTAAAATGTGGGTCTACCGTAGAATGTGGCGCATACTATGGACCGTCTATCGCACAAATATCTCAATTCTAGCAGAACTTAAAACAAAAACTAGACTCATCACAACTATCAACCAAAATATGTGTTGTCGATAAATATATGGCAAGGAGGTTGGATTTGGGCAATTACAAAAAATAAACCGAAAGGGTATTTACCTGAAGCTCCTGGACAAATAGACAAATAAAACACAAGAAGGTCCTCTAGCTATTTAAGATTAGGACGCCGATTCGAGGAAACTCTAAATGAAAGAAAAGGTTCTTCCGCCCTAAAAAAAGAGAGGCTAGGAATTTTTTTTACAAAAGAAATAAACAAATTGGTCTAGAGAAAAAAAGTTAAACATTAATTGTTGTCTCACAACAAACAGTTACAAATATAAATAATACAAAAATACTATGTTAATAATTACAAAAGTGATTATGTCTATCTTTACTTTAAAAGTTTAAAAAAAAAAAATTACCTGGATTCCACTAAAATGCACTTTAAGATTTCTAAGGTGGGAACTGGACTTCTCTCTGTCACTCGAACAAAAAACTGCATCTCACACTGCAAATTACGTTTTGGAATGACTTCTTAGGACAACAATTTGAGGATGAAATTGTCACTGGACGCAAACCTTGGACTCGGCTTCTTAAAAAACAGGAATAGGTACAACTGGATACAATGGCAGCATATGGTTATCCATCAAAGTTGTTGTAGACGCCGTTTTACAAATATCTCAGATGAAAGACAGCTTACAACAAAAACCAGTATTTACTCTTATCTAATCAGACACATAACGTTGAGTAAAAATCACTTTTTTAACAAATTTGCCGGTTTTTTTTTCGACTCAACTAAACACGTCTGCTAACAATGGCCAACATTTTAAACCTGATTTTACTTGACCTTCCTAATACCGCACAGCTTCCTCTGCCACACTTTTCCCTTCCCAGTCAAAGGAATTGAACCGGAATTCTTTTCAAACACATTTGACCTTGAATCGTTCCTTGTTTTTAAAATTGTAGACCGTTCTCTGAAGAACGATTTCCGAAGAGGAAATTGAAACGTCAATAAACGTATTTTAACCTTTAATTGTGGCTTATTCCCATTTACATAGCAAATACTAATATATTTATCATATTTTTTAGGAAACCTCTTCAGTTTTACTAGGAGCTCCTGGCATTAAAAATTGGAATGGTAGGTATAATATTTAATAAATAAGGTAACCTAATTATGACTACATATTTTGTTTATGTTCAAGGTGCCATTATTTCTCAGTCGTTGAAAACATTGACGGATTACACAGTTATTCCACACAAGACTAGTCCCGTTATAACCGAAAACTATAGTTACTTAGGTAAGTTAATTTTTTTAATTTTTACGATATTACAGAACTATTTTTCTTCTTCTTCTGGTTCTTCTTTTTTTAGTTCTGTTTGTTCTGCTTCTCCTCCTTATTTTTTTTCTTCTTCGTCTTTTGCTGCTTTAAGGGCCGACTTCTTGCAAATATTTTCAACCTTTATAACTATTTGCAATGTATTTTGTTAACTGCATTTCTAAAGAGGTTTCATGAATAGTTAAACCGTTCTCTAAAATTTCAGTGGCACGACATCTGTCTTCTTCCCATCTTGCATTTTATCACTTTTTTTCTTTGAATAATTATTGGAGTTTTATAATTTTTTACGACAGCTTAGCCAAGAACTAACACCTTATCATCCAGATTCAAAAGTCTTTATTTAAAGATCAAATAGACCACATCTTAATACAAGAGAAGTTCGCCAATTTATTAACAAATGTGAAAATGTGCAGAGGGGCTGACGTAGACTCAGATCAGTTTTTGGTTAGAATTAATATGAAAAAGCAATAATTAAAAAGTATAAATGGAAAAAGAAAATACAACGTAAATTTAACTTTGAAAAACTGCGAAAATTTGAGGTAACGTAGGGTTATCAAAAAGATATACAAGAAACCTACGCCAAACAAGATAGTACTACTGTGAGTAACATACAATAAAAGTTCTTTAAAATGACAAACACCATAAAGGAAGCTACGTCGAAGAACATATCAAGAACAGAAAGATTTAGAAATAAACACTGATTCGATGACGAATGTAGAACAGAGTTAAAAAGAAGATCAGATTTGAGATTAAAAAGTTTACGATCGCAAAAACAAGACGACCTAGAAAGGTATGCAGAACAACGAAAAAAAGTAAAGAGGGAGCGGAAACTAAAGTATATGGATGATAAAATAAAGCATATTGAAGAAAATTACAAGAAAAATGAAATAATTTTTATGGAAAGAATATTTCGAAGAGATGCAAAATGACGAAGTGACTACTGAAGAAAATTGTTATGTTATGTTCCTAAAGCTCAAATAATAATAGAAGAAATACCAAAGCCCACACGAGAAGAAATTGAAGAAATAATAAAAGATAAAAAATCAAAAAGGTTCGAGGAAGAGCGGCATTGTGACAGAGAACATAAAATATGGAGGAGAGGCCTTAATAAACAAACTTGGTGAGCTAATACTAGAAGTATGAGATGCCGAAGAAATATAGAGGAATATCCTTATTAAGATAATTTGAACTAATACGTAGAATAGGATTGACATGGGCAGCTTATGGAAAGCTAAGAGATGTTTTCCAATCAGCTCTTCCCATCTACTTCCGATAAATGTGTGCTGCCGCTTCTAACCTATGGTGCGGAGACGCTAACACTTACTAAGACGTCCGCAAACAAAATTCGAACAACACAGAGGGCAATGGAACGGTCCATGTTGGGATTAACACTGAGAGACCGAATACCCAACACAGAATTGCGCCGTAGATCGGGAGTAACCGACGCAATCAAAAGAATATCAACCTTAAAATGGAACTGGGCAGGGCACGTCGCGAGAACGAAGGACGGCAGATGGACAAAACGCATTCTTGAGTGGAGACGCAGACAAGATGCCTTTAGGAAATAGAGGACGACCACCAACATGATGGACGGATGACTTGAAACGGACACATCAAAATTGGATGCAGGCGGCTCAGGACAGAAATTTGTGGGGTGAACTACGGGAGGCCTATGTTCAGCAGTGGACGAGTATGGGCTGAATGATGATGATGATGATGATGATCCTTATTAGAGGTAATATATTATATATATATATATATATATATATATATATATATATATATATATATATATATATATATTATATATATATAATATATATATAGGATCGGGGACAGTCTGCACAAGGTATTTCATAAACTATATAGGCCAAACAAACCGTAGAATCCAAAACAGGATTTATGAACATTCCATTTCTGTTCGCAATTCTGATTCAATTTCAGCTCTTGGTCAACACCATCTTCATACAGGTCATAAAACCGATTTTGAAAACTCCAGAACTATAGCTCCCATCCGCTTCTATAAATCAAGAATCATCCGAGAAGCCATAGAAATAGAAAAAAGGCCAAATTGTCTCAATAAAAGAGATGACGCCATACGGTTACCTTCTACATGGAGACCTCTCATAAAGAAAATATCGCCCCCTCCATCCTCGAATCAAAATTCCACAGTCGGAAATGTTCGCGCCAACCCCCACCCCAACCCCCACCTAGGCCACGCCATCATCGACGGTATAAATGAACCGTCTCATATTCCCAGGCGTAGTAGTGACAGTGCCGTGAATAGTGAACAGTGTAGTAGTGTCTGGGGGCTCGGGAGACTGAGACCTCGGAAGCCCTGAGGAAGGCATCAGAGAGGATGCCGAAAGCTTGGCAAAAACATCGACGCGGTTAAAATGGGACTAAAAGTTAATATTAATAAATTGAAGTACATGGAGATCTCGAGCAAAAAAGGAATAAGCACCAGGGGATTCTTTAAATCGGAGGTGGAGGATGGATCAGTTGTAGAATTCGAGAAGGTGAACGAATATATGTACTTAGGTACTTTTATTAATCAGACATGTAAAGAAGAAACTAAAATCAACCTGAGACTGACCAAGAGCAACAGGTGTGCTGGAGCCATGAGCAAAATAATTAAGGCCAAAGATATACCTCGTAATACAAAAATAAGAGTATATAAAACTCTAAGTAGACCCACAATGCTATACGTTGACGAGACATAAACTATGAACAAAACCATACAGAACACATAAAAAGCATGGAAAAGAAAGATACCTCGCAGAATATTTGGTGAGAAAGTAGTAGAGAGAGAATGGAGAAGATAAACTCGTGCAGAAGTGTACCATTTGTATGCTAACCCTACAATAACAAAAGAATGCAAGGTAATAGACTAGTCAAGAATATTGCTTGGAGAGTACCCGAGGACAAAAAAAAGGAAGGAAGACCAAGAAAGAAATGGAGAGATGTAGTGATGGAAGATATCAGAGAGATGGGAATCAAAGATTGGAAGCTGTTAGCTAAGAATAGAAAACGATGGAACTTATCCAGCCAGCAATGGGCCTATAAGGCCTGTTGACGCTGTACATACATAAATTTGAGGATTTGCTACAAAAGAATTGTTTCACTTTAATGACAGCAGTTCATGCTATTCTAATTCGTGTTTTTAACACTATTGAGTAATCATTGTTGGCATTGATTAAATTTTCTAGGTATTTAGTTTTATAAACTAATTCTATGATCTAATGGATTACTGTTAGCTGTAAGTTGTTATCTAGTTTTTGAGTAAGATTAAACATTTAAGACTTATTAATATTCAAAGTCATCTACATAATGACCTCTGAATACACCTTAAACAGTAGTGGTGAAAGTGTACAGCTCTGTTACACTTCTCATTAAATCTTGATATCTTAGCTGTATCGGTTTTGTTTCTTGGCTGTGAATATCTAAACAATGTTGAGTTAATATGTTTATACTTAATAATGCCCTTTTTATGCCAAGATAATTGCAGAATCCAAACACTATGTCACATATAATATGTCATTATCCAATTTTGTGGTACACACGGTTATATTTTATTTTTAGCACCATTTTTAGTTTACGGTTTATTAAGCTTATAGTTCTATGATCTGTATCTGCAATGGAGAACAGAAAAGGCAAACATAATAACTTATTAAAAAAAAATGTATAGCTTCTTTTTTGTAAATTATATAATTATTGTATTGTATATTCGGCAAAACTAAATCATTTTTAACATACTACTTTAGGTTACAAAGTGGGTCGCGGGTATCACACAGATTCAAGTTTTATCTACGCTGGAGCCCCAAGGGCAGAAAGTTTACTGGGAAAAGTAAGTTATTGCAGATCAATTAGAAATTGTACTTATAACACTAGACAACTAGAATATCTTTTGTCCCATGTAATATATTATAATATATTATCTCTTGAGTGATCAGGATTAATAATATCCGGACTGGCCCAAAAGTCTGGAAACGACCAATTATCTCGTAAATTGCTAGTCATAATTTTACAAAATTTGAATTACAGTTATTGTGGGATACGGAGATTCTTTATTTGATATTTGAAATGTTGCCAGATTTGCAATTTTTCTTATATTATTAGTAACTTTGGTTTTTTAAATTTATTACCCCGTATATTCAGTCATTATTGGAATCTCCTATTCAATACGAGTTCAATTATATATAACACTTACGGTTTTATGTAGTTTGGGAGCTCTTAAATACATAAAACAGTGCAAGATATGTAGATTTTAATAAATTTAAATATTTAAATGTGAAATAACACCATTACTAACTAAAACTGACAGTAGTTGTGTTTCTAAATTACTACGAACAACGAACTACGAACGAATTACTATTCTAATTATAAGAGGGTATGGTGACAAAAAAAGATCTTATTGTAAAGTAGCCAACTTGTTCAATGATACTTTCCCAAACGATAGATACCGATCAGGTAGACGGAAAAGAGTTATGAATGACAGCAAAACTTTAGATATAATGCAAAGTTTTGTTGAAGCTCCACGTACATCCTCACGCAGTGTTGCACTCTTACGTGTATTACGTAAGAACAAATTTAAACCATACAAAATTAACTTATTAACTTATTAACTTATTGCAACAAATAAGTGAAGATGAATTCGATCGTAGATTAGAGTTTACTGAGATAATGATAGATAAAATTAAAAGTGATAAATATTTCGTTAACAGAATATGTTTTTCCGATGAAGAAACATTTACACCGTGTGGAAGTGTAAATCAACATAATTTAAGGTACTGGAGTGACGTAAATTCATACTGCATGCATGAAAACCATACACAAAGACCACAAAAATTTAATGTATGGTCAGGTATAGTATGTACTCAGTTAATTGGGCCATTTTTTATCGAAGAAAATTTAACGTCAGATAATTACGAAATGTTACTTAGGAATGAAATTGTATCTATACTGAGAAACTTTTTGGGACCAATTTTAATCAGATATGGTTTCAGCAAGATGAAGCTCCAGCTCAATTTGGTGTAAATGTTCGGCGTTATTTAGATGAGATATTTCCTGGACGATGGATTAGTAGATGAGGTAGAATTAAATGGCCTCCAAGTTCACCTGATTTCAATCCTAAAGATAATTTCTATTGGGGATACTTGAAAAATTCAGTTTAAAAAACTAAACCAGCAAGTCTTGCAGAGCTAAGGCAACGAATTATCGATGAATCTCGAATAATTTCTAGACAACTATGGAGAAATGTGGAAGACGCATTTTAAAATCGAGTAGAGTACTGTTAACTCACAAATGGAACACATTTTGAACACTTGAGAAAGTAACCATAATGTTAAAAATGTAGTAATCAATCAGTTACGTTTAAATGTAGTTGAAAATAGTTGTTATTAAAAAATTTATTCAGACAATTAGGCTTTGCCAGACTTCTGTTTTATGTATTTAAGATCTTCCAGACTACATAAAATCATAAGTGTTACATATGGTTGAACTCGTACTGAATAGAAGATTCCAATAGTGACTGAACATACAGGGTGGTGAATTTAAAAAACCATAGTTACTAATAATATAAGAGAAACGGCAAATCTGACAACATTGTGAATATCAAATATGGAATCTTCTTATCCCAAAATAGAGGTACAGTCCGTCCCAAACCCTTCTTTCAGTGCGTCATAGTTGTTCGAATTCTCTCTAACGCATTAAGCTAGAAGTGACAGAAAAAAAACGTGAGTCTTTTATTATTATACATAGAACTTAGAAAATTAGGTATCGGTCACGGGTATTCGTATATTAAAGCGAATTCTACTTACGAACGTATAATTGGTTGGAGTTTAGAATACGCTAAAGAGATATCCAATCAATTATGCATATAAATATAATTTGACACAGATGATCTTGATAATGACAGTGACAGTACTTTCAATATTCTTTGTTTCACAATGTCAACTGATAAAATGATAATTGCCGTTCCAGGTTAGTATTTTCAGACATTTTACCTACAGTGAAAATTAAATTTTGTATTTATTGTCATAAAAATATTTTAAATATTCCGAGATATACCGAGAATGAACAAAGACTAATATTAAAATTATTAAATTAGTTTCAATTAGAAAAAGAGGCTGAGTTATCTTTATTATCAGTTTCTGTCGTTCGCGAATCAGATTGTGAATTCCGGAATGATATTGAGAAAATATCTTAAACTAATACAGTTATGGATATTTATATGTATTAAAACGGTTCTTTTTAGAACCACGACATTTTCTTGAAATGTAAGATATAATTGATACCAGCCACATATCTAGTGTAATCATTGATTTTAAAGAATCAGATTCTGAATGGGATTATGGATTGTTTGAAATATAATATTCATTTTTGTTATTCATAAAAAAGAAGGTAAATTTACATTCGGTATCTTGTTTTTTAACTAAACTCCATTAACACGATTTCATCTGGATACCGGAACTGGTAGATTAACTCAAAAATCAACTGCTTCACTATTTAAACTATTTATATTGTTTTTTAACTAAACTTTATAACCTTCTTTCATTTGCACACCAAATCTGGTAGAATAACTCAAAAATCAACTGCTTCACTATTTAAACTATTTCCACTATTTAATGACAAATCTTCACAAAATTAAACTATTGGCTGCCACAGAAACTTATCAGAAAATTACTTATCCAATATGACTGATTTAAATCGATGTTATTTTATCACAGAAATGTTTACTTTGATGCTTTGCAATTGCAATTGTCATTGCAATATGCCTGTGTGTTTGTAATAAATAATAATAAATCCATCCAATCCAACAAATCTAAGCTAATTAAGCACTTTCCTTGGAATGTATAAAATAGAACAAAATAGAACAGAATTATGACAAACTGCTATGCATTTAAAAAAACATAACTTTCACATTTAGTCGATTACGATCCTGCAACTGTCAGATTTAACTAAAATGTCATGCAATAATTCTCGACATTCTTTAAATCCTATATGACGTCAAAATTAGGGACGCACTGAAAAAAGGGTTTAGGACAGACTGTACCTTAAATTTTATTCAATTAATGACCAGCAATTTACGAGATAATTGGCCGTTTCCAGACTTTTTGGCCACTCTGCATAGTATAGTAATGACAGTTATTTTATAATATAATCGTAAAAGTTTATGTACAAATAAAAGATATTCTTAAAAAAGCTATTATAGCTTTTTACAAAATCATGGTATTATTGCTTATTTTCTTCCTTAGGTGAAACTTTTTAATGATAAAAATGTCAACTACAGAAGTTTCAAAGGAGATGAAATGGGCGCCTATTTTGGATCCGCTATCTTGGCATACGACGTAAATGATGATGGAGCAGATGATCTTTTTATTGGAGCTCCAACGGCTGCAGGTTCTAGTTTTGAGGAAGGCTGTGTATACTTTTATAACAATGTAAGCATTATTATGTAAGCATATATCCTTAGGGATTTTATGTTGGTTAAAAAACTAGTTAAACGTCGGAGAAAGCATTACTGCAGGAGCAACGCACACATTTTGTGGTAAAACTACTAAATGACTTTGCTTTTTCTGATGCTTAAGCTGTCGTAATTCATGGTTTACCAACATATTTGTTTTATTGTCTCTGCCATGTATATCTCACCAGTATTTTATACCCCCAAACCATGAATATTGTTTTCGACATCTTCTACGAACAATTTTTCACAATTAAATCATACCCACTTAAGAATATAGTTTCTGTAGTAGTTTTTCTTTCTTTAATAATATTTATAGAACTAACATAATACCACAAGAAAAGCTTACATCTACACTTATCTTGTTCTTCTGGTGCACTTCATTATTGGAGGTTTGCGATCACTACGTCAAAATGTTCCCTATTCTGCGCCACTCTTAATAATTGATAAAAGTTTATGACCGTCTTAGCTCTGATTGGGCGAAGCCATGACATGCATACTTTTACAGTGGCCAGCTCAATCGTATAAATTGTACAATTAGTCTTTACAATATGTTTACAACACCACAAACACACTGACAAGTTTCAGCTTATATTCCAAAAAATCTTTCACAAAAAAAATCCTTTAAAAATCTTAAAAAGATTTTAAAATATTTTCAAAAAAAATTTCAAAAAGTATTTCAAAAAACTTTCAAGGATTGTTTTCGAAGTGTTATCTAACAATCACTGAAAGTTATTTTAAAGATTTAAAATATTTTTTTCTTGACTGGATAATTGAAGTTTTTTATTCATACTCACCTTTTGCTTTCTTGCTTAATAGTTTACCACATTGATAAATTATGTAATCATTTTAAGGTGAGAGATGGCCCAGTAAATTTTTTATCAGAGTCTTCCGAACATTCAAGTAACCACTAAAACAGGCCTTATCTATAATATTATGCCAAAAATTTCTCTTATGGTTGCGCTATCAATTATTCAATGTTAAGTGATCTAATTTTTCTATTTTTAGTTCAGATAATACTTTAACCGAGTTAGTGGGATAGATTTATCTTAATTTTGGCTATTAAGAATAAATGTTTTTAGTATTTTGTTTGGTAATAATGCAAGCGCTAATTTTTATGACATATATTTTGTTGGTAATTATGTACTTGATAGTTTAATTTTACATTCTCTTCATCATCACTGGTACTACAGCCCTAAAATAGGATTTTTACCTTCTAAAATCTAACTATTTTTATACATTGTCAGCATTAATTTGTCAGGTTGTTGCTTAAATTTTTTTTTCTCTCTGGAAGTTTTGTTCTCTTGTGATAGTCCATACCACACAAAATTACAATCCCTGGCATCGTTCAGACGGATGGACTCTCAAACCTTTGATGAGTTATTCCAAACTCATGAGTCTAGAAATAGAAGAGACCCTGTCTAATAGACCAGAATTCAGGAGTAAGAGCTGAAGATTCCGTTCTGCAAAAACTTGCTTCAAAAGCCCCAAACACTCCATCATATTAAGTTGTCGTTCTCGTAAAATTGTGTGTTTATTCTAAATGAGCTGTGATAGTGTTATCATTAGATAGATTTTTTGTAGTATGACATGATAGAGATCGTATAAGATATTTATTTATTTATTTATTTACGCTGCAACCACAAGGGTTATTAGCGGCCTAAAAAATATAATACAGGTGAAGTTACAATAAATTGCAAAAAAAAATTACAATAATTGATATAGTCCTGAGTCTTTAAGATAACTAATAGGGTTTTTTTAATGTTCATGTTTTTTCCTAAGGCTTCCTTTATATTATTTGTGATAGTGTGCTTCCCTCTTGCTTCATATGTTTTGCACCGAGTTAGTATATGTATCGAGGAGAGTGTTACTTGACAATTCTCACACATTGGCGGCACAGTCCGGGCAAAAAGGCGTTTATGTGTCAAATCACTGTGTCCCAGCCGCAAAAGCTATATTCTTACTTGGTAGTGTCTATTTGCTGTGGGTTGGAGGCACGGTTTTACTAATTGTTTGATTTCACCAGAAGAAACCTCATTAATAAAAATGGAGTCCTATCTAAAGGACGCTAAGCGGGCTAGTTCATCTGCTTCTTCATTTCCTTGTATACCTGAATGTGATCGAACAAACATTAAGTCAACAGTGATCTTATTATTCTTTAGAGGAATTATTTATCAATTAGTCAGAATTTTCTTCCGACAATAAAGTTTTCACTGCAGAGAGTAAACCTATGTATTTGCTAAGTTTTCGTATTAATTTGGTGCTTTTGGTATTCATTCTTTTGTCGATGTAGTATGGATGTAATTCCATTAGAAACTTTATAAATGCATAAACATCAAATATATAGATCTATTTTGTAGTGAGCATTGTTGGGTTTAGTTGTTGATAAATTTGGGATTGCTTCTGTTTGTAATGTGGTTTGAGAGGACGTAGTAAGTGTGCAGGGAGTGGTATTTCAGACTGTGGGAGTATTTTGTAGATTACCTTTTTGAGTATGATTTATTGATGAATTGTGTCTTGTTTCTGTTTGCATTTTACTATCATTGTAAGCATGGTTAGACAGTGAAATATTTGGACAATTAGCTGCTTGGTGTCGAGTTAATTTGCATTTGAAACATGTTTAGTTTTGGGCTATAAATATGCGGTATGATATTTGTTCCAATGCAATGATAAAAGATTCCTGTAGTACAAAGTTGTCTGATAAAGGTAAAACAAAAATTTGTCTTCAAAAGCTTAGAATAAGACTGAAGACAGGATTGGTTGCTCCTATTTGTAGGAATGATATGTCTAAGAAAAAATTTAATCCTAGTTTTATTAATTCGTCCATTATCAAGTTAGAAGGTATGCTTGGAAATGCATTGGACAGAATTAAGCGGACTGGTGGAGTTATTAATCTTATAGGTTCTAGTATATTTCCATTTACTATTATCTTCTTTGTTTCTGCTATGAATTTATCTACTAGGTTTTTAAATGATATATATTTGCATATTCTACCGTCTGATATACGGGATGCGAAAATTATATTTTTTGGCTCTATATGCTGACTCAATCCTTCAAGATAGTCATTAATTATACAAATTCTCTAGAATGTTAAATAGGATAGCTTGATCTCTGTTTGGAAATGACTAACTGATATAGTGAACTGATACTTTGAGTATAATGCATTTTGTGGTAGGTGACTTGAAAATGACATCTTTTAAATTAATTTAAAATCCTACTAAAACCGGTGTCGTTTTACAGCTTTCGCTGTGATACCATCATTTTTGGCTTTACAACCCTGTGTGGGTCCTAGCCTCCCCAAGAATTTTTTTCCAGTCGTCCCTATCCATCGCCTTCCTCCGCCAAGCACATATTTCCATATTTCTCATATCTTAGTCTATGTTATCTAGGAATCTTGTTCTGGGTTCTCCTCTTCTTCTTTGACCAATAGATCTATCAAGGAGCGTTTTTCTGGCTGGGTCGGTTTGCTCCATCCGTATTACATGACCTACCCACCTCAGACGTCCTATCTTGATGTGTTTTACGATATATGGTTCCTGGTATATTCTATAGAGTTCGAAGTTGTATCGTCTTCTCCAGACCCCATTTTCATTTACCCCTCCATAGATTCGCCTTAGTATTTTTCTTTCGAAACATCCTAACATGTTTTCATTGCTGTTTGTTAAAGTCCATGTTTCTGGAGGACTTCATATGATCTTCATATGTGACTTCATATGACTCAGCGTATTATTGTTTTGTAGAGTTTAGAGCGTAGTTTTGTATTTCTTATAACTGTAGATTTAAAAAGGAGATTAAGACCAAATTAACATCTATTAGCCGTACAAATTCTGCGGTTTATCTCTGCGGTAGTGTCATTTTCAATATTGACGAGCGTTCCCAGGTATACAAATTCGTTAACTGCTTTGATGACGTCGTTTTCTATAACAAGCGGCGGTAATATTTTTGGTTGCGTAACTATTTTCATGTATTTCGTTTTATTGGTGTTTATTAATAAACTCATTTTTGTAGCCGCTTCCTTTAGTGCTACGTACGCTTCTCGTGCTGCGTTTTCAGTTCTCCCAACAATATTGATATCATTAGCACATGCTAGAATTTGCACAGATTTGTTATATATTGAACCGGTAGTTGTGATTTATGATGTATGTATTACTTTTTCCAGAGCTAGATTGTATAGTATATAGGAGAGTGGGTCTCCCTGACGTAGCCCGTTATTTGTTTCAAAAGGTTCAGAGAGTTCCCCCTGGATTCGTACTTTGTATTCAACTTTTTTAAGGGTTAGTTTGGTTGGACTAACCAACTGATTTGGTACTCCTAGGTCTATCATTGCTCTAAACAATTCGTTTCTATTTACAGAGTCGTAAGCTGCCTTATAGTCTATGAATATGTGATGCCGGTCTACACCATATTCCAGTGTTTTCTCTAGAATTTGTCTCAGGGTTGAAATCTGATGAATTGTTGATTTACCACCTCTGAAACCAGCCTGGTATTATCCTAATATTCGCCCTGCATGTGGTGCCATACGATGACATAGTATATTGGAGAATATTTTATACGCTGCATTTAGCGTAATTCCTTGATAGTTGGAGCATTCAAAGGTATCTCCCTTTTTGTGTATTGTGCAAAGTATTCCAATATTCCAATCACTGGAAAGGGACTTTTGTATCCATATTTTTTTTGTAAGCTGCTGTAGCGCTATTATGATATCGTGGCTACCTTCTTTAGATAATTCCGCTGGGAGATTATCTATTCCGGGTGATTTGTTTCTGGCTAGTTTGTTTAAAGCGTCTTTAACTTCCAGGATCGTTGGTGGATCCTCCTCCTTCTCGTCTGCCCGCTTACCTTACAGCTTTAGTCTTCCAGGTTTTCTTCTTCTTCCTCTATATTAAGTTCTGGTTTAAATATTCCGTCAATCGATTTAGTACGTCTGTTCTTGTTGTTAATAGATCGCCAATCAAACTTCAACATTGTTTTGTGTTTGCTTTGAATTCTTTTGTGTTGATGTTAACTTTCTTATATAATGTTCTGAATTTTTTCTATCTATTGAGGTTTTCTACATATTGAAGTTCCTTTTTTAAGTGGTTTCGTTTCTTCATTCTGTGTATTTTCTTTTCTTCTCTTCTGTTTGTCTGGTAATTCTCTACCCTTGTTCTAGTTCGGCGGGTAAGCATTTTTGCATAGGTTTCATTTTTTTTTGTGTGGCGTCTTTGCATTTGTCTTTGCATTCGTCTTTGCATTGTCATGTCATTCATCGTCATCACCAGTGATTTTTTAGGGTACAAGTTTTTGTTCCTATTTCATCTTGTGCTGCTGACTCAATATCTTCCTTTATCCTTTTCCAGTAGGAGTCTATATCTCTCTGGTCTTCTTCGCTTAGACTTTGATTCCTTAAATTATTGGTAATATTTTTCCAGTACTTTTTTGCAACAGTTGCATCTCTCAGCTTCTGTACATTCCAGTTCTTTCTATCTATTTTTTTTTTGTTGGAATTTGAAATTCTAGCCCTTAATGTTGAGATTACTAAACAGTGGTCTGAGTCTACGTTTGCGCCTCTATAACTTTTGCAGTTCATTATGTCCGTTCCGTGTCTTGAATCTATTAAGATGTGATCAATTTGACTAGTTGTTCTTCCATCAGGGGTCCAGGTTACCTTGTATATTCTTGTGTTTGTTGTGATACCAGTTTATGAAAATTGGAGAGTACTTATACCTTATTGCAGTGATTTACTTAAATATCCAAATGCAAAATAAATAAAGTATATTTTATCTACTCACGATTCCAATATTCAGTATACCTTGTATAAAATAGGATTTTCTGAAATCTAATAACAATTTAAAATCTTACAACAGTGTTTTGGATGGAATGCAGAAGACTTAACAGTTCCTTTTTTCGAAGAATAGGCTATACATCCGTAATCTAAGTTAGAGCTTATTAATAAAATTTATTTTTATTAATAAGTTTATATAATTTATTTATTAATAAGATCTAATTTATTTATTTAAAAAAATCCCATATAAAAAGTATAATAATAAAAAAGCCTATCGGGCTATATCTATCGGGACCGTTTTCGGAAGAACTATTCCATCATCAGTGCTCTCTGGATGTACATGTTACATCATCATGTTCATCCAGATAGCACTGATAATGCCTGATAGGGTTTTTATTATACCATATTATATATAAATAAATAAACAAATGATAATAGTCAAAGATTTAAAATATTAGCTAGATGAACTAATGCAGAACGCTGATGTCGTTAGTTGTGTAAAGTCACAAAGACTGAACTTGGTTGGACACTTACAAAAAATGAGAGACAATTTAGCTGTAAAAGTAATCCAGAGATAGAAACCCCCAAGGAATAGGACAAGAGGAAGGCTTCTCAAAAGGTTCATAGGTATCATAGACGATGTAGAAGAAGAATTTAAAACCGTGAACATTAGACAGTGGCGAAGAAAAGTATGCGTTAGGACAGAATTTAAGAACGTTGTTAAAAAGGCAAAGATCCACAAAGGGTTGTAGTGTCATTAGAACACGAAAAAATATTAGTTAACCTAGCAGCTAGTACCAATATGATTGTCTATACAAAATTTTCACACCCTAAATAAAGTAACATGGATTTCACTAAAAAAATATAGTATACTGATATTATACACTATATAGTACTATAGACGAAAAAACATGATCCCAAGTAGATCGTATACTGATCAACAAGAAAGCAAACATCGATAACAGAACTTACAGACCGTATATACATTTAATTACTATTTAACTGGAAATAAGTCACAATTAAAGGTAAAAATACGTTTATTGACGTTTCCATTTCCACTTCGGAAATCATTCTCAAAATACAAACAGTAAATTAAACAAATTTTGTTTAAAAAAAAATGTTTAATTTACTGTTTCTTTTTTGAGAACGATTTGCGAAGTGGAAATTGAAACATCAATCAACTTATTTTTACCTTTAATTGTGGCTTATTCCCAGTTGAATAGTAATTAATTTAAAATGCCACAAGAAAATAACTTCAGAACAGTATATACATTTGTAAGGAAATATTCTTCCAGAAGTATTTTTTCGTATTTTTATCTATAACTTTAGTTAAACCGTTTTCTTTTGGTAATATCAAATAGTAAAAATAGGTTCATAAGTTTAGTATAATCCATTTTTATAGGCAGCTGGAACCCCAATAAAGCTAGTTGGAACTGGAAGAAGAAGAGCCAGATTTGGAACTAATATTGTAGCTTTAGGGGATATAGATCTTGATTCATTCAACGGTATGTAAGGATTTATTTATTAATTATTTACAATAAAATTAATTTTAAATGAAATAATAACTCACTGGCATAAGTTTTTCAGAGCAATATGAAACCTTTGCTATTTTTTTACAATAAATATGTTTTGTTCTGTAAGAAGGTGTCTATATTTTTGTATTTCTACTAAATAAATGTTATTTTGCATTTCAGATGTTGCAATTGCCGCTCCTTTTGAAGACGATGGCAGTGGTGCGGTGTACGTATTTATGGGAAGCAGTGATGGTATTAAAAATGTTTATAGTCAGCGACTAGTTCCTTCAACCTTTGCCAATCCTGCACTTAACGTCAAAGGCTTTGGAATGGGTATTTCAAGAGGAAATGATATAGATGGTAACGGTCACAATGGTAGGTTTCATTTAATTTTGACACAATAAATTGTAATAAAGTAATTTGTTATCATTAAAATGGACTGCTGACCTATGATTTTACGTAATATGAAAAAAGTTGTATTATTAATGACCTAATAATGAGAGAATCACAAATGATAGAGTTTTAATGAATCCAGTGTTGCGCGTTGCGAGCAGCTGTGGCTATTACCTTCTTAAAGACAGGTATAATTGTCAATGAGATCAAGAAACCACAGAAAACCGATCCTTTCCTGTCCATGTGCAAAGCTCGTAGTAAGGTATTCATCTAGTTGTAAGGTAAAAGAGTGGTTTGCTTCCACAGTGTCGATGTATTCACCAGGGAGTTCGTTGCTTTCATAGGATCTTTTGAGCTGCCATATTTTGGCCTCTAATGGTTGCTAATGTGTAATCCCTGCTTAGAAGGAAGAGCCTTTTAAATATGCTGGAGATTTTTGATGGATAATCTACTAAACTGACTGAAATACCATAAATTCTATAAACGTGACAGAAATAAAAAAAGGCTCGAGAGAGCGTCAAGAATATTTCGGTAATTCCATCCATCTAATTGAACTACAACCCAAATCGGGGCTTGGCCTCCTTCAACAAGCTTTTTCAATCATTTCGATTTACTGCTGTTCTTTTCCATGAACACGTTCCCAGGTAGTTTCTGGCATCCTCATCGACTTCGTCTTCCCATCTCTTTTTAGGTCTTCCAACAGGTCTTTTTCCCTGCATTCTTACATTTAATAATTTTCTGAGGATTCTATTCTCATACATGTGCACCACGTGCTCTGCCCACCGTAATCTTTGCGGTTTAGTGTACTGTGTTAGTTGGTTCGCTATAATGTTCTTATATTTCTCTATTATACCAAATTCGCCAGTTGTTGTTTTCACTTATTGAGCCCAGTATTCTAAGTAATATTTTTCTTTCAAACACGTCTAATCCATTGGCAGATTTCTGTGTCACCACCCATGTTTCACAACCATAACTTACTATGGGCCTGATTATTGTTTTATAGACCTGGAGTTTTGTTTTCCGGTATACGTCTCGCGATTTAAATATGTGGCTCATCGCGAAACAGGCTTTATTTGCCAGCACAAGCGTTCTATTTATTTTCGATTCTTCTTCATTGCTTGCGACCAGATCCATTCCTAGGTATGTGAATCAATTCATATGTTCTATATCGTTAATAAAGTCTTGTTGCACCAGTCTATTAAATCTGGTTTGTATGAGTAGTTTTGTTTTATTTCTATTTATTGCTAGCCCTACTGCTTCTGCACTCGGTTTCAACTCAACGTAGGTTTCTTCTGCTGCATTCGCTGTTCTGCTCATTAGAGTTAGAGCCAGTCTGTGGCCTTGTTTTAGTCCTTGCGTTATCGTAAACGCATCAGTGATCTGTCCTTGAATACATACCTGTGCTTCTGTTTCTGTCGTTGTCATTTGCACTAGTCGTATTAATTTTGATTGTATGCCTAATTCTTCCAATATATTAGGTAGAATTGTTCTATCTATTTAATCATAGGCTTGTTTAAAATCTACAAAGAGATTTTAAACGTCCATGTCATATTCTCATGCTTTGGCTAGTAGTTGGTTAACTGTAAATAGTTGGTCAATGGTAAATCTATTTTGCCTAAACCCTGCTTGATATTCCCCGATGAGTTTTTCCGTGAGAGGTTGAAGTCTTCGATTAATGATGTTTGTGAGTATTTTGTATTCCGAACAAAGTAAAGAGATGCCTCTATAATTCAGACACAACATTTGTCTCCTTTTTTATGAATAGGGCAGATTATACTTTTCATCCATTGTTGGGGGATTTCTTCTTTTATCCCTATCTCTCGTATTAGTTGATACATTTGTTGTGTCAAATCCCTTCCTCCTTGCTTGAGTAGTTCTGCCGGTATTTTATCTATTCACGGTGCTTTATGGCTTTTTTGTATGTGGATTGCCGTTTGGACCTTTTCTAGCATTGAGGGTTTAGTTAATTCATTTTCTTCTTCATCTTCCTCCAGCTCTTGTTGTTGTACCTCCTGCCGTGCATGTTACTGCCTTTATTGTAATAGTGGTTGTGTCTTTTTTTTTAGTAATTCCTTAAAATATGTCATCCAGGTTCTCTTAATTTCGTCCATATCGCTAATGATTTCACCCTTCTTATTTTTGCAGAGGCTAGTCTTCGGTTTGTATCCCTATCTTAAATCTTTGATAAATTGGTGTGCACTACGTGTTTCGTTATCCCTAACTCCCTTTCTATGCTTAGTATCCGTTGGTTTTCGTACTTTCTCTTTTTTCCTGTACAGTATATCTGATCTTCGTCGTTTGTTCTCAAATTCTATTTTTCTCTCTCTAGAACGTCTGAGTATGTAATTCTTATGTGCTTCATTTCTTTTCTCTATAGCTAGTTTGCATTCTTCATCGAACCATGTTTCTTCTCTCCGTTGTGTCTTTGTTCCTAGGACTTCTTTCTCTGTGTTGAGTATAATACTGCTTATGGTGTTTCATTGGATTTCTATTGCGGTAATTAAAGAGTATAATATATGCGTCAGATAAGAGACACAGTTCGGTAATGCACAGGTACATGTCTTTGGCCATGCCCAGGAATTATGGTTTTAGAGGATCATTCTTTACCGTTAAAAGGGAAAATAAAATTGGTACATGTTTATTGATGCTGAAGGTAATAAGTCGGATTCACAGATATTCTGTTTGCCCTTTATAATTTCAAGCATATATATGTAGAAATTAGTTAAATGAACTTATTCTGTATATTAACATTTTTAATTAGAAATAAAAACAACTTTATTATTTTAGATCTTGCAATAGGAGCTTACAAAAGCGGCCACGTTTTTGTTATTCCAACTAAATCTGTAATTGATTTCCATACAGCTTTAGAATCAAACATGACAGCTATAACCTCTAATGACAACTTTGTAACTTTATCATATTGCATTAATTTTAAACCTAGAAGCAAAGAAAGCAACATACAGTCGTTGGATTTTATTTTTAAATTGACTATGGATTATAGAGTCAAAGGATCAAAACTTTACACGGAAAATGTCACTGTGTTTCTAGAAAAGACTCTCTGTAAATCATTAGACATCAACCTTGAGGTAAGTTTAATACATGTTACTAACCTAACAGTTACGAATTTTAAAATAGTTAAAATGTTATTTATTTTATAACATAAATTCTGTACGAAACATTAAATATTCACTTAAAATATGCAAGTTTTTTTATAATTAATAATTAATCATAATGACGGTATTAGATTTTTATTTCGATGAAGGGCGGCAAGCCGCTTATACGTATTTCAACCTATTTAGGTTGTCAACAGGATGCCATATTGGTGGAATGCGGACATCGAGGCACTAAGAAATGTATGTATAGCAATGAGAAGAAGGTTAACAAGAGCACGAAGCAGAGCAGGAATCAATCCTGAGGTTATCGAGGAGATCGAGGAAGAGTACCGCGCAAGGAAGAGGGAACTGTACAGGAAAATTCGTACAGAAAAAAGAAGGCACTGGAAAGAGCTGTGTGAAAAACTGGATTAGGACATCTGGGGTCAGGGATACAAGATCATTATGAAGAAGTTCCATGCGTATCCTTCTTACGAAATGCCTATGGACAAGAAGCTTGAAGTAACAAGAGAGCTCTTTCCGGACGGCAGATGTCATGGTGTATGGAGGGATGAAGGAGCTGAGCGGGCTGTACCTTTTACCATGGATAAACTTGTCGAGGAATTGGGTTCACTTAAGACTCGTAGGTCCCCCGGACTGGATCAGATACCACCTGAGGCGGTGAAGGGTCTAGGACGGGTGGAGCCTGGGTGGCTTCTAATACATATGAATGCATTGCTCGAAGCACAAACTTTTCCTGAGCCTTGGAGGACATCGAGGTTAATACTGATTCCCAAAGCTAGGGAGAAGTATCGCCCCATCTGTCTTCTTTTATGCATCAGTAAGCTGTATGAAAGGATGCTGTGAGTACGCATAGACGACATGATTGAGAGGTCAGGTGGTTTATCGCGGAGACGATTTGGTTTTTGTAAAGGGAAAAGCACGATTGATGCAATCATAAGTGTACTCGAAGCATTGCACAACAGAGGGAATAAACATCGCTGGGCGGCCCTGCTGTTGTTTGATGTTAAGAATGCATTCAAACCGCTGCAGTGGAACGAGGTAATGAAGGCAATGGAGGAGAGAGAATGTCCTGGTTACCTGATGAATGTTGTGGCGCAGTATCTGTCCAAGAGAAGGATTATGGTGGAAAAGGGCACGATCGTGACGGCTCGGACGTGACGGCCGGGGTACCCCAGGGATCTGACTTGGGCCCGACGCTATGGAATCTGGCATATAACGGGGTTATGCACTGTGAATACGGAGAGGGTACAACCCCCTTCGCATTCGCGGATGACCTCGCTGTACTGGTAGTAGCCCGGGATGAGCCAGATCTCAAATACCGGGTTCGTAACGCAGGTGGCATCGTAAAGAAATTGATGACGCAGCACGGACTAAAACTTGCGACAGAAAAAACCGAAGTCATCATTCTGAAGGGGACAAGGAACAGGCAAGGTGTTTAATTAAAATGTGCAGGAGTATGTCTAACACCCAAGAAACAAGTAAAGTACCTAGAAGTGACATTACACCGGAATGGAAAATGGGGGAAGCACATTCGGGAGGTGGTCCGAAAGGCTGTGAATAGTGCGGCTGCGTTGGGGAGAGTGATGCCGAACATTGGAGGACCCAAATCCGAAAGGAGGAGGGTCTTATACGGTGTTGTACAGTCTATCGTCCTCTACGCGGCACCAGTCTGGAGTGAGGAGGTAGAGATAACGGCCTATCTTATGAAACGAGTAGACAGAACAAGTCTGTTGCGAGTGGTATGCGCCTATAGGACTGTGTCTGCGGCAGCCTTATGGACCATCACTGGATGTATTCCGTTGCATGTTGTGGCCGTGGAAAGAAAAGAGCTTTATAAGAGAAGAGGCCCAAACCTTACTATGGCTGAGAAAAGACAGGAAACGGGAAAGGTCAGTTGTAAGATGGCAAGAAGAATGGAACAATACGGAGGATGTGACACATACGATGTTAGATTGTAGCAGATGGATAGTGGAAAGGAACAGAATGGAGAGAGAGACAGGTGTGAATTTTGTTACAGTAAGAGAAATGATTGAGAGAATGATTGAAAATAAATTAGGTTGAATTAACATACACAGTTATATCCGTGCAGTGATCAAGAAAAAGGAAGAGGAAGAAAGACAGTTGGACCAACGGCAAAGGTAGAGTGAATGATGCTGAAAGGTGAAGTTAGAACAGTGGGTCACACTTTTTGAGTTAGAATGCGTGAGTTTGACTGTGGGGAAGGAGGAAATGCCCTTCTGGGAATGATGCCGAACTGGGAGTGTGGATGTGTATGAATGAAGAATGAATAAATAAAGGTAGTTTAGCAGGTAGACGTTCGGCGTAGAGTCGGCGACGAGAAGGCAAGTACCTCGGGAACTATCACCGGGAGTACGAAGAACGAATCCTGCACTAAGGTTAGTCAGGCGGCGTCCTGGACTGAGATGTCTTTTGAAGATTCTAGACCCCCCTCTATAAAGACGAAAAAAAAACCTCTTTAGGTATCATCAGAGCGGATTATGCCACCGCATAACTCTATGTAATAAATTCTTGTTCCTTTTCTTTCTGTAGCTAGTGACACCTTATGCTCCTGAGAGGTGTCGATGAACTAATGGTTAAACAAAGAAAGCAAACAATGTACTAAAAACTTCTTAAATTGTCATAATCGTTCTAATGACAATCTTAAAAATTGAATATTTCTTGTTTTCGGTATTGGCCACTTTCATATTTATTAAAAGTGTTGTCTTGAGAAAGTGTAAAACAAGTTGTTGCAGTATGTAACAATCATTCTTTTCGACCTCCCTATTGCTTATGTCATGTTACCTCTGCAGTTTCTCAACCGATTTTGTTTGGCCTAAATATTTTCTTAGTTAGCTGCGAATTTTATTTTTTGATATCTGCCACGAATTTACAGAACTAGCTTTTTCTTTAGCAAGAGTTTTATTAATCTCGATATTATCAATTCCTTTATATCTTGGCACCCGCAGCAAATTCACACCAGTTGCTTAAGTGACTGTATGGAATTGCATATGCCTTGGAATATTAAGGATTGATACAAATAACTTTCATCAAAAAACATATGAAGACCTGGTAAAACAGCATTAAGAATGAATACAAGAACTACGAGATCTATGAAATGGTAACATTTTAGAGCAGTATTGAAGAGTAGCAGAGGAGCGAGGAGGGGCACAAAACAGTGGCCTAAACATTAACGAAGTAAAAACCATGCAGGCCAGTAAATCGACAGGCTAAAGAAACCTACAGAATCTGACAATAGGAGACTATAACATTGAAATTCTTTATTTACCTTAAATTAACTGCTCTCGCCTGATTCTTCACTTCGTTTCGATAGGCGAAACTTGCGAAACAGAATGAGCCCGGCGCTCACTCGACTCCAGTGTTGAAAATGTCCGGATAATTACCTGATTTTTGGATAATTTCGTGAACCATCGGATAATTTTCGAATTGAATAATTTTGGATAATTCAAGGGTCTATCGGCTTGGTGTTATATTTTTTATTTGATTTATTTATGAATACATATACTCATTTTAAATCTAATAAATATATTTTTTGTATTAAAAGTCCGCGCTTATACACCACGCCTCTGCCACGAAGGTAAACGAAATGCAAGAACAAATACTTACCATTGTTAAAGTTGATTTCATGTAATCGAATGAACTATCTGATAAGTAAAGTCGTCCCAGGAGCGCAACTCAACAATATTGGCAATATCATTTTAAAGTCGTCTACTTTAAAATGCATAATGTATGTCTGAATTGTCAATACAAATGAGTCAGATAAAATTAAATTAATAAAGAGAATTTTTCACTATGTAACAAAAAAACAAAATTTGTTTAATTTACTGTTTGTATTTTGAGAACGATTTCGGAAGTGAAAATTGAAACGTCAATAAACGTGTTTTTATCTTTAATTGTGGCTTATTCCCAGTTAAATAGTAGTTAATTTAAAATGCCACAAGAAAATAGCTTCAAAACAATATTAAATAATTATATTTTAGCAATCTCTGGCTGATGTATTACCCTTTACTTTTATATTAAATACTGAACCTAGTGATAAAATATTTGCGGAGGGTACAAGCAGGATAGAAAAATCCATTCCTTACTCTCATGGATGTGGAACTGACAATATTTGTCAAACACAAATATTAGTTGACGTATTCTCTGAAACGTAAGTATTTATTTGACTAGGTGTGTTTATATATTTACTATTACTAAACGAAAATACATATGCGAATAAGATTAACTAAAGACATTCATAATAATAACCAAAGAACAATCGCGCTATGCATGAGTATTCTCAAAAGTACGCGATCCAACAAAGAAACCACAACAATTTTAGAAAAAAGTTTATTTCTTTTAATAATTTTAGCAGTACCTAACCTATAATACTTGTTGAACCATTACTAAACTAATAACTGTTATTCTATTAACCGCTTACTACTGGATAATTTTTTATAAAAAAAATCTTTGATTACAAACTTGACTTCAAGATTACGGTAAAAATATAAAAAAAATCGTAGTTGGTTTTTGAATTTTTTAATTTTTTTTTTCGTATGTCATATATGGCACACTATGCAATAAAACAAGATTCAACAAGTAAAATTAATAAAAAAATGACGTTTATTACTTTCTAATTATAATAATTATTTAGTGTGAGAGTTATAAAAACAATTTCTATTTTTGTTTAAGCCATATCCATCTGTTCGTACATCACCTTTTATTGGAATATCGGTTGCTGGACTCCTTCGTTTCTTCTTTAGTAAATTTTCCATAACTTCACACGGACGACCCCGTTTTCTAGTAAAACCAGCTTTATTAACTTTGCATAAACACTCTGCTACTGCCATCTTAAAACCTGCCAGAGTTATATGCTCATTGTCACTTTTTCTCCAAAGAATCCACGCATTGACAGTCATCAAATAAATAATACGGAAAAATATACGCATGTACCATTTTTGGATTTTGGATCTCAGTTTGATCCTAGATCATTCCAACATCGAATCCAGGAGATCTACTTCCCAAAGATACTTGTAGATCGTTACAGCTTTTGGACATGAAACCATTATATGTGTCTTTTTCAAAAACCGTTTAACATCAACTGTTGGCATACTTCCAGTATGCCAACATACCTTGAAACATTTCCAGTTTAAAATCTCAAAACCAACGCATACAAATAAATCTAACCAAAGTCGCAGTTATGACTGGAATTTGAAATTTTTTCCTTTACATCACAATGTAAACAGAGAATTGGGGCAATATTTAATACTTGGCCCAGGGACGTAATAGAAAATTTTTATACCTTAAATATTAGATAGTTTAAGGAATTTTTTGTATGCTACAGGTTATATAAGTTTGTTTTCATTAATTATGCAACCCAGTAATACACGACTACTAAATCTGTGGTGTAAATGCAAAAACTATCTGCTTGATAGAATGTGAAAACACTTGTTTGTCTTTACTTGAGCTGCTTCACTGCTAAATAGATTTTAATTGAAACGCTGTGAACTGTAATTTTGTTTAATAGTAATAGAATAGAGATGTTACAAGTCTAGGTATCTGCACACTCTTGCTTATTACTTAATACCCCTAACTAAAAATGGAATGCGCATAACCAAGCGCGGTGTTGACATGGTTGCCATTTAACAAATAATAAAAAATCCGAACACTAGCATAACAGCTTTTTTTCCTATTTATGAATAAACTAAAATCTTTTCATTTTGCAGAAAGAACATTATTTTGGGTTTAACTAAAACATTTAGTGTTAACGTAAAAGCCGAAAATGTTGGCGAACCCGGATATCAGTGCAGTATTTATATGGAAGTACCCAAAGAACTTGAGCTGAGCGACGAAAGAAAATGTACTTCAGAAAACTCAACGTATATTTGTCCATTCGTGTCGAGACTACTTGATTCAACGGAGAAAAAGGTAAATATTTTAATAATCATAAGGACAAAATTACTATATAGAACAGATAGTAAGTTGTTCAATTGGTTCTTAAGGAAAAAATGCAATGTTTTTTTCATTGCAAAAGCCAAACTTTAAACGTTTAAAAGTAAATAATGATATTTTTGTTGGAATCATCGTTATACGCAAAATTAACACATTCTCTTCTTTGTATTTTTTCTTGATGATCAAGAAATTATTGCCTCAATAACATTATTAATTAGCCTTTTTACAATCAATCTCGTCCCATTGCACAGTCAAGGTTGATTAATATTACATAGATTTGGCTATACGGCTCACACCCTATCCAAGGAGAAAATTCACTCATCCCAGATACCGACGGTATCAAAAGGATTAAGCTCTGTTTAAGACTCTTTCCGTGTTATCGAACCCTAGGTGACTTGATATGCTGGAGTATCTCTCAAAAATTTTCGCACACATCTGGACGTTGAGAGCAGTACAACTTTCTGCATGGTCTTGTAGAAATGATCATTCATACTTAGCTTTTTTATGTTTTCTAGAAGGTTTTTCATAATTACTCCAGTAGTAGAAAGAATAATAGGTATTGTTTGGGTACTTGCCACTCTCCACTGTCTTCGTATTTGAATTTCCAGATCCCTGTACTTGTCCATCTTTTCGTTCTGTTTGACACGAAGATTATTGTTGTTGGGTATCGCCACATCAATTTGTGTTGCTTGTCTCTTTAGTTTATTAACTATTATGAGATCTGGTCTATTATGTGCCACTGCTTGATCTGTGAGCACAGTGCGGTCCTAGTATAGCTTGTAGTTATCAGTCTCAAGTATACTTTCAGGAAAGTATTGATAATATCGGAAATGGTTTGTTTGAAGAAGTCCCAGTTTGATAGCTATCTTTTGATGAAGGATCCTTCCTACTGAGTCGTGCCGTTCCTTATATTAAGTTGCAGCAAATGCCTGGCAGCCCCGGTAAGGTGTTGGATGGTTTCTTGAGCTTGACATCCATATCGGCATTTGTCATTTTGGACCTGAAGGTCTTTAACGATACATTTCAGGTAATTTTTAAATAGTTTTACCTGATCCTGAATGGCGAGTAATGAACCTTCTGTTTCAGGGAACATCTTTCCTGATGTCTCACAATAGTTCGACGCTATATTGTCGACGTGGTCTTGACTGACCTTATTGGGATGTCGCCCGTGCAGAGGTTTACCCATTCAGGTGCGCATTTTTTCATCCTTAGTAAGATGGTTTATGCGCATTTCTCATTCCCTCAGTTTGATCGGTGTTGTGTCATCTACTACACAAATCGCGCGATGAAGATTAGATATCTCTGCCTAAAAAATATTATTATTATATGACAGCATAATGATAACTAATCCTACTTTTAATAATTGTAAATTGTTAGGTAGGAATCGAAGCAATTCCGATGAATTTAAAAACTATCTAGGATAGATGACTACGTCATCTTAATTTATAACTGTGCCAACTAATTTAAACAAAAACAACTTCTCTAAAAGAAAATTTAAAATGTTCGTATTCAAAACATTGACGTATGTGTTGTCTGCCGTCATAATTGCTTATCCAATTATAATTTCTGAACTTGTGAGCAATGTCAAAAAAAAACACGCTGAATAATCTCGACCCAGCATATTATTAATAAATTTAATTGAGTATTACAATGAGAATGTAAAATGGCAGTTGTAAATGTTAATGTGTAAAAATTTTGGATTGAGAAAAAGCTTATTGTTTGAGAGTGATAGGACTCTGGCTTTGTTCTCATCTCTACTACGTCCTCTTTACTAAGAGAGAAGTAACACTGGTAGACGCCTAGTAGGGATAACTGAGCTAGTGATATTTGATCAGTTATAGACCAGGGTTAAAATAATTAAATTTCTAATATCGCTACAGGGTAATTCCAGCAAGAATCGACACAACTCGGTGGGGTCACAATCTCTAATTTGGCTCAAATTTTACACACATATTGTATTAGACAAAAAAACATGATTGTCAAATTTTCAGACCTTAATATTCAAAATGGCGGCCGTGGTGCGCTATTGAAGTTTCATGCTTTTGATCAATTTTTTTTCGTGTTTCGCCGATTTTATTAGTACAGCGAGTTAAATATGCTTAAACAAATATTTGCTATATGTTTTCCAATGTAAAATTTTCCGCTGAACACGATCCCGTTGTCAGAATTGCCATATGACGTCTTGTAAAGCCACAAAATGCGAAACAAAGCGCTTGTTTTGAAAAATTCATATCTCAAAAACACCCTCTTTAATTTTTTTCAATTTTTCACAAAAGACGCCTTAATACAAGTACTTTCGAATAAAATTTGTCTCAGAAATCCTTTTTATATGTTTAAAGCCGCTGCGCCCTATAAAAGACCAAAAAACGCAATTTTCTCGCCTTTTTTTATCGTTTTTCCTTCGTTTTTCAGCTTCCAAATATCTTTTAGAGGTTTTCTGACAACGAATTCGAATTCTACGGAAATTAAATTATAATTATAATTATATTGAAATTTAAACTGGGTAATTGCAGGTCAGGGGATCTTAGTAATTGTATTCAAAATCTCTATGTTCCGTCTTAAATTTTCCAAATGTGTATATATATATATATATATATATATATATATATATATATATATATACGCACATACACACACATACTCTTGTGTATATAGACGAACAAATATTATATGTATAATAATAAAATCCTAGCGCAAAAAATGTATTGATTACAGCGCGCAATTCTGCGTTTAATATTGTGTCGCCCCCTATAAAACGGTAAAATCGGTAGTAAATAAAATTAAAATAGTCAAATTTTATGTAAAATTTTCCGTAGAATTCAAATTCGTTGTCTAAAAATTATTTGGAAGCTGAAAAATGAAGGAAAAGCGATAAAAAAGGCGGGAAAATCGGCGTTTTTTGGACTTTTATAGGGCGCAGCGGCTTCAAACATATAAAAAGGATTTCTGAGACAACTTTTTTTTAAAAGTACTTGTATTAAGGCGTGTTTTGTGAAAATTTTAACAAAATTAAAGAGGATGTTTTTGAGATATGAATTTTTCAAAAAAAGCGCTTTGTTTTGCATTTTGTGGCTTTACATGACGTCATATGGCAATTCTGACACCGGGATCGTGTTCGGCAGGAAATTCTACATTGAAAAACATGTAGTAAATATTAGTTTAAGCATATTTAGCTTTCTATACGAAAAAAACCGGCGAAACACGAAAAAAAAAATTAATAAAAAGCGTGAAACTTTAATAGCGCTCCACGGCCGCCATTTGATTATTAAGGTCTGAAAATTTGACAATTATGTTTTTTTGTCTAGTACAACATGTGTGTAAAATTTTAGCCAAATCGAAAAGGGTGACCCCACCGACTTGTGTCGATTATTGCTGGAATTACCCTACTAAAACATATTGGTTAGTGATAGAGGAGTAAAAATTAAGATTTTTAATGTTTAATACTACATTTAAAAAAAAAATAAAAACAATAAATCTTACAAAAATATTACAATTGCAAGACAATTAGGAACCAAACACATGCGCTTGTAAAAAAAAATAAAAAATGATCACTGGGAACGCTTTTCGAAAGAAGTGAAACATGATTTTTACGGTCTGCAAAAGGAAATATAGTGCTTCATAAGAGGTTAAAGAACAGAGGTTAAGGAACTAATAGAACCAAAACGCATAGAAAATGATACGTGGATTGACTACCTAAAAAATTTTATGTAGAGGAAAAACAAAAAAGTTAGAAGAGGAAACTCCAGAAATTACCACAAATGAAAATACTTAATATAAATGTAACAGAAAGTTCGGAAAATACTTGAAAACCTGAAGAACAGAAAAGAAGCAGGTAAAGGCGGGATACCAAATGAATTACTAAAAAATTGTGGAGGAGCAATGACAAAACAAGTAAGAACAGTGGCGGCCGGTCAGGGTCGGCAGGGTCGGCAGTGCCGACCCACATCTTTATAGATATTATAGATTATTTTAATATTTAATTTATTCAGTATTTCAATAAATAATTGTGGCAGGTAATCAGTCTACCAATGTAAAAGAAACCTTCAATAAATTAGAGGGAGAGGCAAAAAATACCGGTCTAAGGGTCAATGAAGAGAAAACCAAATATATGTGCATTAACAGACGAAAGAGACGAGATAGAATAGGACAAAGTGTAACAATAGACGCCTATAACTTTGAAAGAGTGGAGAGTTTTAAATATCTCGGAACGACTATCACCACAGATAACGATATCACGGAAGAGATAAAAGGGAGAATTCAGGCAGCAAACAGATGTATGTATAGCCTCCACAATACTATTAAATCCAAGAGCCCAACACGAACATAAAAAATCAGGATATATAAAACAGTAATTAGACCGGTGCTCATGTATGGGTGTGAAACGTGGACGCTGACAAAAGCAATGGAAAGTAAACTCCTCAGAAAGATCTTCGGTCCCTATCACGATCCGAATACTAACCAATACCGAATGAGAACAAATGACGAGGTCAAACAAATGTATAGTGCTAGCGACGTAGTCCAAAAGATTAAATCCCAACGTCTAAGATGGGCTGGCCATGTTCATAGGCTCCCTAATAACCGCCTTACCAAGTTAATCTGGGAAAAAGTCCCGACAGGTAGAAGGCCCTTAGGACGTCCACGAATGCGATGGAGAGGTAATATATGGTCAGATTTGAGAACAATGGGGCTACCCACTGACTTAAACATCATGGATGACCGTTCGAGATGTAAGCAGGTTGTGCAGTCAGCCAAGACCCACCCCGGGTTGTAGTGCTACCAGAAGAAGAAAAAAAGAATTTAATATGACAATCTCATCTCAGGAAACTTAAACAATAGTAGTTAGCAAATAACAAAGCATATGTAAAATAGATATTAATGGCAGCAGTATTGAATAAGTAACGGAAATAAAATACCTGGAAATTACACTGTCTAGCTCTAGAGACCTAGACAAAGAAGTGAAAGATCAAGTACAAAAAGCAAGTAGACGTGCAGGATGCCTTAATATCTTTATCGCGAAACAGACACATTAACATTGAGATAAGGTCAAGAGTTTATAAAGCCAGTGTAAGACCAATAATGATATATGCCTCAGAAACAAGACCCGACAGAAGAGATCGAAAGAGAAGTGCAGACATTAGAAGAAAATGTAACGTACATTGTATAAAATGAATAAACACAAAATAGAAAAAAAAAAACAATGGAATAACTACATAAGCAGAATGGAGGAGACCTGTGTCGTCAAAATAGCAAGAGATAAGTGATCAATCGGCAGAAATATCGGACGATTGCGCAAAAGACAGAGTGACAACCTTGCATAGAGGTATTAATCCGCCAATGACCAAGCGGAATTGCTTACAAATAGAAAGAAGAAGAATCAACTTGCCACACAATAATCGATTACCGTTATTTTCCCTTGGAAAATTGTAAGTTCATCACCTTGTAGTAGCTCTATTGCTAAAAATTTAAAACGATTCTGAAGGTTCATTTTATATAAAAACCGATATGGTTTGATATGTTTCGAGGCGATGTTAAAGCTTATTAGGATGGAAAAGATAGTTGAGATTTAAATTTACGTATAGTGCGTCATTCGCTTATACGTATTTCGGCCAAATAGGCCTCTTCAGAACGGAAATTTATAGTCGCTCTGAACGCAAAAATAAATCTCTTCTGTCTTAGGAAGCAATTCTAACATAGCTTCGAATGGACGCAAATAGCGACATCTGATATTAAAATCCGTAAACTAATTTTCAAAACCAAATTCAGATTTTTGCCTAATCTGTGACTTCTAACAATTGCAAGGCAAAACAGACGCTGATAGAGATGTGATTAGAGACATGGGGAATCGAATCTTAATTAAATTTTAATTCGAATTAAATGCAAATTTTAGATTTGATTTAGATTGAAAAAAAAATATATTATTTTTTTATATATGAAATCTTTTTCTAGATAAATTTTGATGTAAATAAAATTCATCCAACTACGCTGGATATTTCCGTTTCCTTCGAAATAAAGTGCTTGGGAGAAAACATTGAAAATAAAGACCAGGTTGAGTTTGGTATTATTGTACAAAATTATCCATATATCGAAGGGTAAGTATTACATACATTTTTCTTAGCTAATAATAGCAAGAAGACGTATCTGGCATTGATACACACATGGTACTAGATGATGCTCAAGAAGAATACAAGGTTATTGACATAATTGATACACATTTTCCTATTTTTAGCAAATCCGATCCAGAAGATTTTGAATATAATGACGAAAACGCCGAAGAAGATAGGGATGTTATACTCCATCATACATTTACACTTGGAAATTTTGGGCCATCTCCGGTAAAAACTGACGTGTATCTATTGATTCCTCAATTGGAAATAGACAATAAAGATTTGTTTCAATTAGTGGAAGCAAAGGTAATTTTTTATATAAATCTTATTTTATAATTGCAATTAGAATATTTCAATAAGAATATGATTGCTGATACTAAAGACACACTTTACCGGTATTTTAAACCTACATAGTTTCTGGTGTCAATTGTAGTTACATTCTATTTTTGTACCCTTGTGTGTAGTGAATCAGGTCCAATTACACTATGCTAGACGTAAAATTAAGTTGTAAACCTGGTAGATAAATCTCATGACCGACCCATTAGCCTATTAGAACCAGTTATATCCAAAGTTTTAAAGAAAGTTATTGCTAAGTATATATTATATATTATAAGTTAAGTAGACTAAATATTGAAATACAGAACAATAATATTAAACACACAACAATTAAGCACAACTGCACGAGTGTATAGGGTGGTATAAAGATACAATCAGCCTTCCAGGAAAAGAGCTTTTACAATGCCATTTTTCCCATTATTAATCAGGCATTTGACAAGATCTGGCATCCAGGATTACTATTTAAGCTGAAAAACCAATATCTAAAAAGCTGTAAACGATACTAAAATTATACCTCAAGGAAAGCCTTTCTGTACAAGATATGAAAAAAGTGTGTCTAAAATCCACAACATAAATGCAGGCGTCCCGCAAGGCATTGTCTTGGAACTAATTCTCTACACAATCTTTAAAGTTGATTGATTCTCAACTGGTGAAGAATCTACAATGGCAACATTAACAGATGACACTGCAATTCTGGCCAATAACCCAGCCTATACCTTGACAAAAGGCTAACATGAAGAAGGTACACCTTGATGAAGAGAAAGCAATTAAGAATAAAATTCAAAAAATAGTACTCGTTACTCGGCCGTAAATCCACCTTGTCATTATCTAACAACATATTATTGTACAAAGCAATGATGCCACCCATCTGGACATACGGGATTGAACCGTAGGGAACTGGAGCAGATAGCAACACTGCAACACTAAAACGATTTAAATTTAAGGTTCTTCGTGTCGTCACTAATGCACCGTAGTTCATTCCAAATGCAGACATTTACAGGGACTTGTACATCGAAATAGTAAAGCATATGATACAGCCAAAATCCCTACTTCCAATATATCTCGTGAGGAATTCATAGCTTTCAAAAATCTCCGTTCTCTTTCTGAGATAATAATCCTTCCTGAAGACAAAGGTAATGCCACAGTCATCCTGGATACTCCTTCCTACATAGAGAAAGTAAACGACTTACTTAGGGATACATCCTGTTATAATACAATTTCTCGAGACCCCACTCCTAGAGTCGAACGCGAAATTTCCCATGCTATCAAACAATCCGATCTTTCCGATGATGTTAAGAAGTCCATAGTTCCGAAAAACTCCATCTGCCCCAGAATTTACGGTCTTCCCAAAATCCATAAAGACAACGTACCTCTTCGTCCCATTGTGACTACGATTAACTCTCCTACCTACAAACTCGCAAAGTACTTGTCGAATCAGTTTAAGACCTATACTGGTCGTACCTCTTCTTATGTCCGAAATTCCACACATTTCATCACCTTAATCTCATCCCTCACGGTTGATCCCCAAGACATTCTCGTCAGTTTCGATGTATCATCCCTATTTACCAATATCCCCATACATGACTCTCTAGTTGTTCTGCGAGATCATTTGACCAATGATAACAAGTCTTTGGTTTTGGCAGATCTTGCGGAAAAATGCCTCCTTTCAACATATTTTTCTTTTAGAGGCAATTTCCACAAACAAATATCTGGAACACCAATGGGTTCTCCCCTTTCCCCTGTCATTGCTGACATTTTCATGGAGCCTTTGAGTCTTTAGACCTAGAATCTTACCCCTTAAAACCAAAAGTCTGGTTCCGCTACGTTGATGATACATTTATCATCTTGCCCCATGGTCAACATACCCTTTCTCCCTTCCTAGATCATCTTAACTCACAACATCCGAGTATAAAATTCACAATGGAATTAGAAAATAATCGGTCCCTTCCCTTTCTCGATGTGTTAGTCACCTCTAAGCCCAATGGCCGATTGGGTCACTCTGTTTATAGAAAAAAGACTCACATGAATCGTTACCTACATGCTTCATCACACCACCATCGTGCCCAAAAGAATTCTGTGATCAACTCTCTCATCCATCGGGCCATTTCGATTTCTGAACCTGACAACCTTAGAGAAGAACTTGGCCATCTGCAAAAAACCCTTGTCGCCAACGGTTACTCCAAGTCCACAATTCAAAATATTACACACCGACATCTACATCCCCCTTTACACCCTAGGACGACAAATTCAGAATCTTCGGGTAATACTCCTGTGGCTTTTCTTCCGTATGTTCGAAGTGTCACTGATAGGATTGGCAAAATCCTTCGCAAATAAGGTATCAGGACTACTTTTCGACCACCCAAGAAAATCTCACAATATCTACCCTCTCCTAAGGACCCATTACCGCCCCTATCTTCCTGTGGTGTCTATTCTATTCCTTGTTCATGTAGACATGTGTATATTGGCGAAACTGGTCGTTCCGTCAAAACTCGGATTCAAGAGCATCAAAGATGCATTCGATCAGGTCTTTTCTTCCATTCTGCAGTTGCAGAACACTGCCCAGAAACCGGTCATTCCGTATTGTTCGAAAAAACCCATATTATTTCTAAGAGCCCCTTCTTTTATTCCAGGAAAATACGCGAATCTCTAGAGATCCGAAAAAATCCACATAATATCAATCGAGAGGAAGGATACTACTTGTCTCCCATCTGGAATCTCAGTCTAGAGCCGCCGTCCGGTCCCGCTACCACGATGCAGCTACATGATTGGCCAGCGCGTGCTTCTTGACGTTCGCTCCACGGAATGTGCCAATACGTCCCGACACGACAGGTCACCGCGACTATAAATAGAGCGGTAGCGGAGTAATCGTCGGATTCACTCCCCGCCTCTCGACGCGTTAGTGTTCTGAGCTGTTTGACGTGAATCCCTGTCCTGGCATTTGGTTTTCACCTCTGGCTGCGTTGAGTAGTTGAGTTACTGTGACCAAATGCCCATCTTGGTAGTTAGTGTTCGCCTCTGGTTGCGTTGAGTAACTGAGTTACCGTTGCTAACTATCCATCTTCCTGTCTTCTTTTTCTTTTTCTTTGTTCTCCTGAAGAAGCTACATACAATTGTAGCGAAACGTCGAGATGAACCCACTTTTGGGTCACTCACAAATGACACGGTCCAAACCCGGAAGACGAATAAACTATAATTCTGACTCTGGCCGTGGAAGCCTACGATTTCATTTAAGCATATGATTGTTTAAAAGGAGTGATAAATATGTTAAAGCACTGAAAAAATAATACAACTCCACACAACTAAATAGATTAAATATTAGAACTTCGCTTGACTAATAATTTATTGAATAGGTGTCTAGACTTAGTTTTGGTAATTAGAAATAAATTTACTAGGAGTAATTAGTCATTGAAATAAAACTTTTGCTTATTTATTATGCTTGCTTAAAAAAATGCTTACTGTTATTTGTTTGTATGTAACAGATTGTACTTTAAAAAAAAATAAATCACCCAAACTAGTCTCCAATGGGTGAAGACTAACTTTCTATAAGTTGTTCTATATACTAACATATCTCTGGTAGTCAAAGGGGTATACAAGTAACGTTATTTAAACCCAAAATCAAATAGTTCCTAAATACGTAGGTACCATTGCCTAGTTCCAAGTATAGGATGAGAAAGGAGGAAGCTTAAATGAAAGGTTGACTTCACATAATATTGGAAACCTTCGAAACGAAACGATAAGACACACATTGATAATACCTTTACCAGAATTTTTGAATGACAAAAATAAATACTTTAACCTTTCAGGGCATTCTAGAAGGCACACAGATATCCTGCTATCCAGGAAATCTAACCGACACTAGTGATGATATAGGCGACATTAACTTGGAAGAAAATTCATCTACACAAAGGACTGTATCAATGAGTTGCTTTGAAAAAAATAAATGCTTAACACTGTTTTGCGAAGGGGATTATTTAGATTCATCTTCAGCAACTGCAAAATACAGTTTAAAGGTGAAAACCAGTACCAAATTATTAGGTAAGTATTTTTGGTTAGATTATTGAATTATCATAACAATTTGCACCAAACTTTAAAGTCTGTTTCTTACGGGAATGAAAAAGAAAATGGTAAATAATTTAACTTTATTTTATTTATATGGAAAAATGAGTAATTTATATATCGAAGGATCCGAGTGAGGACACGAATAGTTTTTTTTTCAATTCAAAACAATATCTTCTAATTCTTTCGAAAGATATACCTTTAATACATTGAATAATACATTTTACTCTCCTGACTTTTACCCCTGCACCGTGTTAGCGTCAGAATTTACTGTTCAGCATTCATTTACATAGTAGGTAATATATACAGATTCCGATTTCAGAACTACTCTTTTTGCCATTAATTTCATTTTAGCACAAGCAACATGCGTTATTCAGTAGCTGTGATTCCCAAATGGTAAGATTTTATACTATATACCAATTTCTTACGATAGTTTAATTGCCCAACAGATCCTTTGGGTATTTTTAAACTTGCTTGTAAATCCATTGTTACAGACATAAATGTCTTGTCTTTATTTTCTTTGTCTTTATCTATTATTTTAGTGGTCTGACAAATTTCGTTTCTTTTTCTATGCTCTCCATAGGTTTTTCCAAGGGTATCTTCTCTACTGTAGATCAGCCGTAGCATATTTAATACAGATATTACAGATAAGACAACAAATAATAGATTAATATTTACTTAGTAATTACACCACAATTACTTAACACCAGCTGACAATAACAACAAAATAGTCAGAAATCAAATAGATTATATTATCGTCAACAGAAGATATAGAAATTCTATAATATCATCTAAAACTTATCCAGGAGCGGACATATCGACCGACCACAACCCGGTTGTTTTGTCGATAAGAGTGAAACTAAAGAAGGTCAATAGCCCTAGCACCAAGAAAATCATAGATACAAGACGTCTCAAACAAGACAACACATATGTGGAAACCAAATTTAAAATAAACGAGAGCTTAAGGAAAGTCAAAGAAGATAATGCAGAAACTCTAACTTTTGACCAAAAATGGGGAAAAATTCAGCATGCCCTTGTGTCAGTGGGAAAAGAAACCCTCAAACCACTTAAAGAAAAAACAAAACCTTGGATGACAGTAGAAATTCTTGAACTCATGGAAGAACGAAGAAAACATAAAGCAAAAGACTTGAATAAATAGAAAGAAATTCAGAGAAACATCAGAAAGAAAATTCGAGAGGCAAAAGAGAGAGGGCTCTCCTATAGATGCAAGGAAATAGAAGATCTGGATAAAAAGTACGATAGCTTTAATTTACACAAAAAAATCCAAGAAATGACAGGTTCTAGAAAGCGTACAAAAACGAATATCCTTAAAAATGATAAAGGGGATATTATTACTGATATGAAGGAGAGATTATGTCACTGGACCAATTACATTCAACAACTATTTAATGATGAAAGAGAAGAACTGTCATTAGAAATCACCGAAGATACTGGACCACCAATATTAAGAGAAGAAGTCATCTATGCCATCAAAAACACAAAAGAGGGTAAAGCTACTGGACCAGATGAGGTGCCCATCGAATTATTAAAACTCATCGATGAAGATGTTATTGATGTAATGGTTGAACTCTTTAATCCAATATATCAGACTGTCACAATCCCCAGACAATGACTGCAATCAACCTTTGTAGCAATTCCCAAAAAACCAAGTTCAACAACTTGCTCAGACCACAGAACAATAGCTTTAATGAGTCACACACTTAAAACATTTTTGAAAATAAATCACAGCAGAATTGTTAAAACTCTTAAATATGAGATTAGTGACATACAATTTGGCTTTAGAAATGGTATGAGTAAAAGAGTTGCTTTGTTCGGCTTGAATGTGCTGGCTTAGAGATGCATGGATATGAATCAGGATATGTACATATGTTTTGTAGACTTTGAAAAGGCATTTGATACAGTTCAAGATAAAAAGCTTGTAGATATATTAAAAACCAAAAATATTGACAGTCGTGATCTGAAAATTATATCTAATTTATATTGGAATCAAATTGCCAAGGTAAGAGTTGACAGCCAGTACACCGAAAATATTAAAATACAGAGAGGAGTCCGCCAGGGTTGCGTGCTGTCCCCACTACTTTTCAATGTCTACAGTAAAGCGGTATTTCAAGAAGCGCTCTCAGACTCAATAGAAGGTATATTTATCAATGGAGAAGGTTTGAATAACTTACGTTTTGCAGACGATACAGTAATAATTACGGATAACAACAATGATTTACAGAACCTAATGCAACGCCTTAATGAACGCTGTGATGAGTACGGACTGAAAATAAATTTAAAGAAAACTAAATGCATGATCATGACTAAAACTGCACATGCAAATATCCTATTGTCTATTGAAGATACAGCAATTGAGAGTGTTAATAACTATAAATACTTAGGAACATGGATAACAGCAGATGTAGACCAAACCAAAGAAATTAAGACACGTATTGAAATAGCACGTACATCATTTATTAAACTTAAAAAGTTTCTTTGTTGTCGGGATATAAGGTTAGAACTACGCCTGAGAATGCTTCGATGTTACGTGTTCTCTACTCTTCTTTATGGTCTGGAAGCTTGGACACTAAAACAAGTTCATCTGAATAAGTTGGCCGCCTTTGAATTTTGATGTTACAGAAGAATCCTACGAATATCATGGATTCAAAGAATATCAAACATGGAAGTAACTAGAAGGATAGGAAATGAGGCGGAAATAATATTAACTATTAAAAGACGAAAACTTGAGTACTTGGGACATGTGATGAAAGGACAAAAATACGCATTATTACAACTTATTATGCAGGGCAAAATCCGAGGAAAGCGAAATGTGGGAAGACGAAGAATATCCTGGCTTAAGAACTTAAGGGAATGGTTTGAATGCAGAGTCCGCATAGCCATGATGATTTCCAACCTTCGATAGAAGATGGAACTTAAAGAAGAAGATTTACTTAGTAATATTGTTTCGTATATTTTCTATGCAGTTATCTACTGAAAGTTGATAAATGTTTTTGATACATAGAGTTAGGATCTAATGTAACGTAAGTATTTCCTAATTGTATCTCTACGGGTATGGTGTGTTTCCACAACTAGAAAGGATTTAATAGGACCTTTGACATATTAAACGTCTTTAGATTTTGTTTTGTTAATTCTTTTTTGTTTGCCGAGAATGTCTTCTTTATAATGGCAACCAGTAAAATCACTGTTAGCTGCAGAATTAATTATAACATCTAAGGATATACACAGCGTTTTTGTAAAAAAACTTTTGGTACACTGGAATTCGTTCATTGTTAGCTAGTGGAAAAATACATTTCGTGCCAAATGTTCATTTCTTTCTTTGGGAAGTCTAGTCCACATTTTATTTGACAGTTGTATTGTACAAAACAAAAATTTTTCTAGACTTAAAATCTAGAATTTAGTGATTTCTATAGTGTTTCAGTACACCTAAATTTACATTTACTACAATTGATTTACTATAGTACATTGGGAGATCCGATTTTGTTTTTCTTTATATATGTGCTCCCTTCTGACCGTCTTTTTTCGCAATGATTTATTTTCATTCTGCAGGATTACTTTTACGCCAAGTAGTTAAACCTTTTCCTGGTTGCGTGGCTCATGCTTATTGCTTATCGTTTTTCCCCCATTAATGATCATTATCGCGGTTTTGAGAACTATTTTTTAAACTACTTGGGCTTATTTTGGTCAAACATTTTTGTGCGCCGTTTATAATGTCGAAAAGAGAAATTGAAAACAAGAACAAATATGAATTATTACCTGTTATCATTTAAAATAAATTAAAAGAAAAAAAGTATTGGAAGAAGACTGACGTGTTTGAAACATTTTGGGGGCGTTTTTCCAATGCAATCCAATATAACTGTAAGGAGTAGAATGTAAAAATATTTTTCCGCCATTAGCAGGCAGAAATAAAAGAAGTAAGAAAATGCAGTTCGCTACTTGTTAACCCTTTACTAGTCGTTACATGGTCAAAAAGACCGCACGTAATAAAAATTGCTAATATTTCGGAAAAAAATTACATTTGGCAACCACAGCTGTCAGTAGCTTACTTATTCGATATACAAGGACAAGGAGCCTCAGTACTAAATCAAAGTAGCGGGAGGTTTGTTGATTAGGAGTTACATCGCAAAGGTCAGTTTTTATAAATATTTTTATTGTGTTTCTTATCACCTTAAGGTATGTATAAATGCTAGTTTTTTTTTAAATAATATACTATTATACTTTTGTCTTATTGTTTAGTAATCTTTTGAATATACATCTCTTTCTTTTATTATAAAATTAGACATTAAATTTTAAATTACTTTGCAGCAAATTGCTATTACGATATTTCATAATTTTCTTTGTTCTATTATTGGAAATCAAATATATTTTTTTTAATTCTAAGCTACAACAAACTTTTATATATAACTTGTTTGGCTTTATTTGTAGAATGGACTATGAGAAGGAACAAAGGAGACTTCAAGCCCTCATGGAAGAAGAACCGCTTGATATAGAATATGACGACGACGATGACGAAAATGAAGTAAATCCGGAAGTTATTGATGAAAGGTCGGAAGATTCGAAAAGCGAACAAGAACAGGATTTAGAGGAAATAGGAGAAGTTTTACTGAATAATGTACAAGAAGAAAGTATTTTGAGGGAAAAAAAAGATGGTACAGTGTGGAGAAAGCATAAAAAAACATGAAGTGATTTACATAATTGTAGAATCTACTAATAAATACATTGAAAGTATAGCAAGCAATTTCTTTAGGGAAAGGGATGCAAAGCTTACAAACCCATCTGAAATTCGCGCTCTATAGGCCTTTTATATTTGACAGGGATATATAAAGTCCATCACCTGAATACAGAAGATATCTGGCAAACTAATGGCGAAGGTATCGAAATATTTGGACTAGTGATGTCCTTATCCCAATTTCTGTTTCTTCTAAGATGCATTAGATTGGATGATAAGGTCTATCGTGAAAAACATAGGAGACTGGAGAAGATCGCCGCCATCCGAATATTTTTTGACAAATTCGTAGAAAAGTGTAAATCAGGATATAACTCTTCGCAACATTTACCATGCGATTAAATGCTTTCTGGATTTTTAGGAAATTGCCCTTGGATACAATATATTCCAAGCAAACCCTTTAAGTATGGGCTCAAAATTTTTAGTTTATGTGATGCTGAAATATATTATACCATAAATATGGAGGTTTATGTCGGTCGTCAACCAGATGGCCCCTTTACTGTAGACAATTTCTCGAAAGAAGTTGTAAAAAGAATGTGTGCGCCAATAAAGAATTCTGAGCGCAACATTACGCTAGATAATTGGTTCATTAGCATTCCTCTAATAGATGTTTTAAAAAAATTATTTGGAGTGACTGTTGTGGGGACCATTAGAAAGAACAAAAGGGAACTGCCCCCTGAATTACTTCAAGGATCTCATTCTCTAAAATCAAGTATGTTCGCCTTTAGCGATACATGTACCTTGGTGTCGTATATCTCGAAAAAGAAGAAAGTTGTATTGCTTGTTTCAAGTTTACATGATGACAACGCTATAGATAGAGAAACATTTGAACATTATAAACCAGAAATTCAGACGTTTTATAACAAAACAAAAGGCGGGGTTGACGTCAATGATTGACTCATGGTAATTTTTAACACCATACTAAATATCGCAGGCATTAATTCGCTAGTGATTCATGCGAGTAAAATCCTGCTGATAAAAAAATGCTTAGAAGAAAATTTTTGAAGCATTTAGCATTTTCTCCTATGGATGAACATCTACGAGTCCGAGCAACAGTAGATAATTTAAATAGAGATCTGAAGTTACGTATTAAGGCCATATGTAATATTCCTAACACAGACGGCACACCAACGAATGAAGGAGTACATGGTAGATGCTACTTTTGCGACCGTAAAAAGAACCGGAAAACGACTGTTTCCGGGCGGGGTTGACGTCGTTGATCAGCTATGTTTCTCTTATGATGTTTCGCGAAAAACAAGACGTTGGCCCATGGAAATTTTTAACACCATACTAAATATCGCAGGCATTAATTCGCTAGTGATTCATGCAAGTAAAATCCTGCTGATAAAAAAATGCTTAGAAGAAAATTTTTGAAGCATTCAGCATTTTCTCCTATGGATGAACATCTACGAGTCCGAGCAACAGTAGATAATTTAAATAGAGATCTGAAGTTACGTATTAAGGCCATATGTAATATTCCTAACACAGACGGCACACCAACGAATGAAGGAGTACATGGTAGATGCTACTTTTGCGACCGTAAAAAGAACCGGAAAACGACTGTTTCCTGCTGTATATGTAAAAAGTTTTTATGCAGAAAACATGCACGTGAGGTATGCGAAGAGTCCCAAACTGAACTTATTCGGATTAACTAAAAGTTTCCTTTTTTTTTATCGGAGTAGAAAATAGTTTTTTTAATGTTCTGTCCAGTGTTTTTAACATTAGTTTACTTTTTATATTATTTTGTAATATGTTACTTTACTTATTAAACCTAAAACGGTCATTTTCAATTTTCAAAATTTTCAGAATTTTCAAAAATTCCTAGCGACTACTGAAGGGTTAATAAAATGAGTTAAAATTTTAAGTCCTCAGTTTATTTTTACAAAAGATTAGTGGCAAAAGAGAATGTGGTTTCTCAACTGTTAATCGTAACTTTTGGAAATCCCCAGAGACCTTAATATGAATAATAGAAACAAACAATTATGTAACCAATGTCGTTATTATTATATTATAATGAAAAGTAACTTAACAAATTACCTAAATTCTTGCTAAATTATTCTAGTAAACAAGTAATGTATTTGAATATTTAATGGATATCACATTAATTTTTTTCTGTTTTAGCAAATTATCTTCTAGATCTTCCGGATAACAAAAACATACTGGCCTACACTACATCAGCTTTTCTTTATAATGGAACTCGGTGAGTCCCAATCGTAATACAATTCAGGATGTGGCATATTATTGTTAATATTGCGATTCCGCTGTGATAATAGTTTTCATGTAAACAATTATTGTTATTGTCAAAATGAGGTGGTTTTTATAATTTATTTATAAACTACTTTTAATATTTTATTAAGTACTACGTTTATAAACGCATTAAAATAATTTTTCTATAAAAAAACTGCAGTGCAAATAATTGATCGATATAAATTATGTTCAATAATAAGTTGCCTACAATGTATACCAAATAGCACTTACACTTTGGAAAAATAGTTTTCACATAAAATTTGGTACATAAAACATAAAATAATTTTATAAAAACATTTTTACTTAAAATAAAACTAATTTGGTGTGTAAAGTAGTCGCTGAGTTTAAATCTGAAATCCGTCATTTTTTTGCAACTTTAAACATTACAAGAAAACACTGAAAAATTACAAGAAACGAATTTTACTGACCATAAATTAGCAAAATTTAAGGCATTTACAGGATATCATAAAAATAGACGTGATTTTAAAAAAACCAGGGAAGGGGTTTCGATTTCTGTTAATAACTCATTGAAATCTAGACAAATACCTTTAAAGACCAACCTTGAAGCAGTAGCAGTAACCATAAAAACTCCAAAAATTATTAACATATGTAACATTTATTTTCCACCGAATACTGATATAAGTATAAAAGAGATAACTCATATTTTAGAAAAATTCCGTCGCCTAAGATTATAGTAGGAGATCTAAACGGACACAATCCACTTTGGGGATCAAATAGAGATATAAAAAAATAGGACACATAATAGAAACGGTCATTCAACAATATTCCCTACTTAACGATGGATCTCTAACAAGATTTAATTCTTTTACTGGAAACACTAGTTGTATTGACTTATCTCTTGTAGACCCTTCTTTACTACAAAACATAACTTGGGAAGCTAGTACACAATTGTATGGAAGCGATCATTTCCCCATAGTGATACATTTCAAAAACAAACAAAAAATTCAACCATAAATTAGATGGAATACAGAAATAGCGGATTGGTCACCGTTAACACAATTTGTGGAGAATCGAAAGCAATCCTGTTAGGCCATCATGTTTCGCTTACACCGAATATATTTATATTCATTCTTATCATTTCTTGAAGGATGTTATGCATTTTACCAGGTTGATACATGCTTTTGGCGTTTCACGTACCTATGTTTGCTTTTGATAATTTTACTTTGTCTTATTTCGATGTTTGTCAAATGTTTCGCGGGTTAACGACCTGGAAATCCTTGTCCGTTTCTCCCCTGCCGGATCTTGGTCTCCGCTTCCCATGATCGTTTTTTTTTTGTCTTTTAGTAATTATTGCAAAGATGATTTTACTAGAGATATCCAATTAGATCTTTAATGCAGTGGTTTCTCCTTGTCTTCTGCATCCTTATGCCGTTGACCATTTACTTGATTTATTCGTCTTTGGGGCCAATTTCTTCGAACAGTAAAACTGGTGTGGGGGGAAGTCCCAACTGGAAGGAGACCACGCGGACGCCCTTGTCTCCGGTGGCAAGATAATATAGCAGGTCACCTAAGCACTATGAACGTGGAGAATTGGATGGAGGTTGCTCAAGACAGAAAACAGTGGAGGCATGTTGTCGAGTCAGCTAAAACCCACGAAGGGTTGTAACGCCACGGAGCAAGTAAGTAAGTAAGCCAATTTCTTAGCGCCTGGACATACGAGTGCCCTTCCACTTACCAACTCATCCGCCCAAAGCCGTTGGTCAGTAAGTGTGTTATTGCTTATACGGGCAATCGCTTGGTGGAATTTTCGCCATATCTGGCTACCCTTACTTGGTTTATCCTGCAGACCAATACAGTTGCCCGGAGTGTGGCACATGTAGATAAAAGTGAGATTTAGTTGTCTTATGAGGACCAATTATCAAGAACCATCTCCCGTCTATAACGCTCGATGTGGTCATTTCCATAAAAGGTGCTACCTCTATACCACAACTCTACACCCCTCGTAATTATTTTACCATTGAAAAATTATCATAATTTATCACGGGATCATCAAAAAAAATCGATATAAGCGTGACTTTATAATTACTTTTAAAGTTATTTAACAAGTAATACCTCATTTTAAAACTAACAATTTTGTTCAAAAATTTTACCAACATGTTACCAAAAATATTAACTAAATTTTGTATTTCAGGGTGGAAGGTCATGCAACTACTTTATTATTATCTTTACATGCAACACGAGTTCCTCTTTGGGTATACGTTGTATCTGGAGTCGTGGGAATCTTGCTCTTGTGCTTGCTAATCTTTATTTTTTACAAAGTAAGTATGGAAAATACAATTCATAATAATCAACATTAAAATTAGTTGATGTATGAATGAACTAAAACTGTAGAGGTTAATTCATATAAATCATTTTAAAGTTACATTAAAAAAATATGGGGAATTAATCTTAATATAAAATATCCTAAAAGGCAACTGTTTTAGGACCAAATACTAGTACAGTAGTTTTCTGCATTTTATGGATGTGTACAAACTTATCACCTTATAAAATTATTAGACCCTCCAAGCTATAGCAAACTGATCACCAGCACGGTTAACCCTTGTACTCTTGTCTTCTGCTTCTTGTGTATGTGGAGATATAGTCAATTCAGAAATAATAAAGCAAATGGCTTTAAAATTTAACTAAACATTTATTTATATCGGGTGTCTCCAAAAATGCTAAAAGAATTACCAAAAAGGGTATAGTAATCCTTACATATATATTCAACGCAATATTAATATGTAATTATTGGCCTAACAATCTAAAAATTGCAGAAATACTTTTATTCGACGATTTCGGGAGACAGGATTGTACAACCGCAGGGCAGGTCAAGGCCGAAAACGATGCACTTCAGTTCGAGATGACAGTCACTAAAGTATTCAGAATCGCTTTTGCACCGGTCCTGAAGCTCACAGGTCTCTTCTTGAGGTGAGAAACGTTAGTGTGACTAAACAAACGATTCGAAGAAGACTGTCAGAAATAAACTTGAGGGCTTTTCGTCCAGCTCGCGCACCACAACTGCTCCCACAACACTTTATTTTGCGCGAGAATATGCTAACTGGACTATGGTTGAATGGAAGAATATACTATTCTTCGATGAGAGCAGAATAGCCCTAAAAGGTTCAGATGAACTCCAATGTGTCTATAGGCGTTAAAATGAAAGGTTTGCTGCATGCGCTATAACCGAAACAGTGGCTTACCGAGGAGGGTCAATAATGATTTGGGGAAGTATTTCTTACGAAGCGCGTACTGATCTTGTTGTGTTCGGTAGAGGCAGTGTGAATGCCCACGTATACGCGCAAGAAGTTCTTCAAGACCTTGTCATGATTTTTGCACCATTCATTACTGATAACTTTTGACTAATGCATTACAATGCACGTTGCCATACAGCAAGATCTACCCGTGAGTACCTTAATGAGGTCGGGATTCAAGTTTTACCATGGCCAGCACACAGTCCCGATCTTAACCCAATTGAGCATATCTGTGAAAACCTCGAAAGATGAGTAAGAGCAAGAGTACCAGCCCCTTTATAGAGCTAAAGACAGCTGCGGTAGAGGAGTGGCACAATATCCTCCAATTTAATATCCACGATATTATGAATGAATTGCCAAACCTTCTCCAAGCAGTCCTAACTTTTTTTCAATCAGAGTTTGATTTTCAAAATGTTAATTTGAATTTTCTTTGAAGGTTTTATTCATTGGATTTTAACTGTAACAAATGACTTTTTTTCAAAAAAGATTATTTTTTCTCTTTCGCGGAGATAAAAATTGATAAAAAAACATGTCTAGTTGTTAAAGCACCTAACTTTTGTATTAGAAAACGATAGCGAATCAATTAAAAAACTAAATGTTTAGACAGTATAAGGCTATAGCTACGATTAAATTTCAGTATTCTACAAATGCTAGAATATGTCACAGGGTGATGCAAACTTTAAGAAAAAAACACAGTTTGATTCGTACACCTGGTATACAATGAAAATTTACCTATTTAGCAACAATATTAGTATAAAGATATTGTCGTGAAATAAGGCTACAACCTATTAAACAAATTATCTAAATGGGATAACAGGTTTAGGAGTTATAAGAAATTAAAAATTACCCATTTTTAAGGTGGCCAGTTAATTTTGGCCCAGAGTGTATATTAAAGTTTAAATTCTTTTGAAATTGCGTGCTAAGGAGGCCCTTATATACCATATAAATTCCTTACGTGAATAGTAACTGAACACGCTTATAATAGACTACCTGATTATTATTTTTAACCAATTATCATTAAGAAATGCAATCTTGATTTTTTGTTAAATATTCTTCATAAATAACTGGTACAGACTTTTAACTATATACTACAAGTGTATCATAAAATTTTAAAAATTACAAATCTGTTTATAATAATATTTTCTGTTTTAATTTTAGTGTCACTTTTTCGACCGTCACTATAAAGAAAAAATGAATGGGGAACGCCTGATGGTAAGTTAGAGTAGAAGTGAATAATTGGAAATTTACTGGATAGTACTAAATAGTACATTGTTTACCGGGTAGGAAAAGCTTAACATTCCTGGACGACTGTGAAGCAACACAGAGTCCAGGAATGTGGCTTTTCCTACCAGGTAAACATACTATTTTTCCGCAAATCTTTTAAAATTCGACAGATATTGATTGATTTAAAAAAAACGCGATAATTTTATTCCCAAATAAATGGTGCTTTGAAATTCCTAATAAAATTACTTGGGTTACTATGGAAACGTATTGAGGTTGAATTGACGATAATATATAACAACTGTACGGAAATATCATTTCCTTACAGTAAGGAAATGACATTTTAAATGACAAAAGATTTTTTTTAAACAATACATATATTTAATCGGTATAAAGATCTTGCAAAGTTGCCCAAAGACTAATTTTCATGCCATTCTATCATTCCATTGGCCTTCTCTAAGGTCTTTTGTGCTCGTAGAATTAGTTATTCGTTTTCTCCAAAATTTTTAAGGTCTTTCTCGTCTTTTGCAGTTTGATGAAATCCATTCCACAATATTTTTCGGGAATCTTGTATTCTCCAACCTTTGAACATGTTCGTATCATGACAGTTCTGCTTTTTACACATCTGTTGTTATTGAGTATTTACCTTCTATTTATTGTTTTATCTAATTGTTACAAATTCTTTTGCTTCGGATACTTTATCTGATCACCTAAAACATCCATTTGACTGTCTGTAGCTTTCTTTTCTCTTTTTTATGAATCTACAGTAAACTCTTCAAACACCCTATCGTTTTGTTAGCTTCCGTTAATTTTCCTTTTATTTCTTGAACATCTTTCCCTGTAAATCGAAAACAACTCCAAGGTATGTGTATTGGTAATATGAAATAATTATGTCCTTATCTTCTAATGCAATATTTGTCATATTGGTTTATATTGACAGATACTTAGATTTTGCTGCATAAATTTCTAATTCTCACTTTCTATATTCTTCAAGTTTCCCTGCCAGATATTCCAGCTCATCTTTATCATTCGCTGTGATGACCGGGTCATCAGCAAGATGTCAGGTTTATAAAAATATTTCTTCATGGTCTACACCCTTTGCATCCCATTTGCATCTACGTTTTTATTGATGCCTTCGCAATAGATATCTTAAAGAAGATTGGCGAAACGCAGCATCCACGTTCATTTACTGATTCTGCAATCTCTGTCATTTTTAAAAATGTTTGCATTTATTTTAGGTTTCAAATTTTAATATGGTTCCTTTATATAAATTTTGTAACGATTTAATTAGAGTGAAGCTAATGTTGGCTTCTAGTATCACTTTTCTGTTTCTCTTGTTAGTTCTAATATTCCTGATGTAAAAAATTAAAAACGGGACAATAAAAGTATTTAAATAGACCAGAGCATAGGCTTTAGCAAAGCAAGCGAAGCATGGGGAACAATAAAATGTTCAAGATTCCAAAATCAGCCCAATACCACTAAAAGATTATTTTTGAATATATTAACTGAAGATCGTCCATGATTTTTTTATTTCTAAGGATAATGGCCAGTCTTTCTAGTAAGAGGCATCTTTTATATAAGAAAACTCTTTTTTTTTTTGTTTGTTTTGGCTTGGACAATTGTCATTCAGCCAGTCTCAATCAAGATAAGTTTATTAATGTAGTGTGTGTGTGTGTGTGTGTGTGTGTGTGTGTGTGTGTGTGTGTGTGTGTGTGTGTGTGTGTGTGTGTGTTTCTGTGTGTGTGTGTGTGTGTGTGTGTGTGTGTGTGTGTGTGTTGTGTGTGTGTGTGTTGTGTGTGTGTGTGTGTGTGTGTGTGTGTGTGTGTGGGTGTGTGTGTGTGTGTGTGTGTGTGTGTGTGTGTGTGTGTGTGTGTGTGTGTGTGTCTGTGTGTGTAGAGAGTAATTGTCTTGATACTTGGCAAAGTCGACGTCATTGTCTTTGTTAAGAGACGCTAATTGTATCCGAACGTCTGCGGTCCCTCCGGTGAGTACCGATCACACAAGGATATAAATTATTTTCATTTATTAATTTTTTTTAATAAACGAAAATTTCCACCCAGGTGAGATTCGAACTCACGACCTTTAGGTTTAAAGGTAGGCGCTCTTACCACTGAGCCACAGAGGGGTTTATAAGAAAACTCAATATTAAGTAACGAAAGTCATAGTAACCATGAAAATTTGATTAGCTTCTGGACATACAGGTCTCACCGTTAAATATTTAAAGTATGGACCAAATTCGCTAGTACAACTACTTGATACTGTGTTTAATTGTTTTTTGAGGGGCGAAAAATTGCCACTTAATTGGACATCAAACCACCAAAGTGTTATAGAAGCAAGTACTGCAACTATTGAGGTAGTGTAACAAACTCTGTTTCTACTTTACGGCAAGATTACAAATGAAAGAATAGAGAACGAAGTTACGGATGGTGGAGAGTAAAGTCGATTCTATCCAGGAAAGTATTCTACTTCAATATGTTTTGCTAAAACAGCTTTTAAACAGAAGAATAGCTAGAAACATAGAAACACATATGGTACTCTTAGGACTAAAAAAGCATATGATAGCATATTCATAAGTAAACTGTGAAATGAAGGAGAATTGATAAATATAATTAAACTATTAAAAATATGTATACAAATATAGTATGTCAGGTCGAGAAAAAGCTTTCTAAAGAATTTATAATTACTAAAGTGTTTAGACAAGGTTATGCAATAGCTTCAACGTTATTTACAATTCTTCTGTCGTTTCCTCCTCTTCTTGATGTCGTCTTAAGTTTTTTTTTTGTTAGTCTTAAGTTTTTGTTTTGTTAGGTAATAATTAATATCTTACTCTGTCTTATCGAATAACCCTTCAGCGATTTTCTCTAACTGACATTGAGTAAGCGGCCTAGAAATACCGGAAATTTTGTGCATATCAAACACACGTGCATAAATAAGTTGTTAGTTTAAGAATGCATTGAACCTCGCAAACCTAGAAACTCCACAACCTCGACTGTGTGGTATAATTGGGAAGTACGTAAACGTGCTTTTTTCGTATAATTTATGACAGCGCGCCTACTACTACTACTACTCCGTGGTGTTACAATCCTTCGTGGGTTTTAGCCGACTCGACAACATGCCTCAACTGTTTTCTGTCTTGAGCAACTTTTATCCAATTCTCCACGCCCATAGTCTTTAGGTCTCCTGCTATATTAACTCGCCACCGGAGACGAGGGCGTCCGCATGGTCTCCTTCCAGTTGGGACTTCCTCCAACACGAGTCTTACTGTTCATTCGCCAGAATGTCTTTCGAGTTGTCCTACCCATTGAAGTCTTCTGGACTTTATTTTTTTTATGATGTTGGCGTTTGGGTAAAGTTCTTCGAGCTCTTTGTTAGTTCTTATTCTAGATTGTCCTGATGCTTCATCCAGCATAGGACCAAAGATCTTCCTTAAGATTTTTCTTTTTCAAACACATAGTCTCTCTTTGTTTGCCTATGTTATCGTCCACGTTTCGCTTCCATACATCACAACGGGTCGTATGATTGTTTTATAGACCTGTATCTTCGTACATCTTGTTATTTGTTTCGATTTTATGAGGTTTTGGAGGGCAAAAATACATCTCTTGCCGGCCTGAATCCTGTTGTTTATTTCTTGTGATTCGTTATTTTCTTTAGTTATTGTTGTTCCAAGATACTTGAATTCTCTAACGCGCTAAAAGTTAAAGTCATCGATAGTGATGTTCTGACCAATTCTGTCTCTGCTTTGGTTATTGCGGTTCATATACATATATTTCCTCTCGTTTTCGTTGATTTGGAGCCCCATCTTCTCTGCTTCCTTCTCGAACCTCACGAATGTCTCCTTCATCCTTAATCGTGTGTTTTCTATTAGATCGATATCGTCTGCAAATGTCAGTAGTAAGTTTGGTCCTTCTCGATAAGATACTGTATTCGGTTTTTCGATTCTTGTACTTCTGATTATGTACTCCAGAGCTAAGTTAAATAGTTGTGGTGAAAGTGCATCTCCCTGTTTTAGTCCATTGTTTATTTCAAATGTCTCTGAGTATTGTTGTCCAACTATCACCTTATATCGTAACCGTTCCATACAAATCCGTATCAACCTGACTAGTTTCTTTTAAAAGCCTGAAGTTCCTGCATGGCTGTCTACAGACTGTTCTTGCATATTCTATCAAATGCTTGTTTAAAATCTATGAACATCTGATGAAGCTCACGATCAAACTTCTAGAATTTTTCCATTGTCTGTTTTATTGTGAATTAAGCGCGCTACAACGCGCCTGCTGCAAAGATAAGAAGACAAAATTGTCCAAACAAATTAAAATTTTTAATAAATGATTTATAAAATTATGTAGACTCTAGCTTCTTACAATAATCTTAGTTATTTACTATTTTTTTGTTTTCAAGGATCAACATATTGAAATGGAACAAGAAAACCATAACCCAGAGCAGGGTAAAGAACAAGACGAGGAGTCACTAAAAGATAATATCTAGTCTTGGATAAGCTAAGTTAAGCCATACTCAAAGCAAACAAAAGTTTTCTTAATTTATGTTATATACACAGAAAAGTTTTTAATATAGGGTAGATTAAATAGCATAGATAGTACAATGTAGCATAATGTTTTTTTAATATATTATTTGTGATATTATTATTTACCTAGGTTTATCTATTAGTTTGCGAAGAAGATAATGTAAAGCAATTACTTTAATATGTATAATTTTCTTAACGATAATTAAAATTTTTTATATCCGTACATAATTTTTTCTTCCCATAAATATAATTGTTTCTGTTTTATTCTTTGGAAAGACGAAAGACATTAAGCTATCTTTGTTAGAATCTATGGAAATTAACAAATTAAAAAACACAGATATAATTCTGAATGACCAACTTGGGACAACTAGTTCTCCCCTTCTCAACCTATCTCATTAGAGACTATAAATTTGTAAACCCAAGCCAAAAATAGATCACTTGAGAAAGGCAATCTGCCGAAACAGCTGTAGTAATAAAATTTAAAATAAATTATGTGGAAGGTTGAAAACGAAGTTTTCAGTGTTTTATTGTTACATTAATGAAAATCATTGGAAAATCCTTTAACTTAAACTAGCTTAATTAAAAAATGTAGAAATTGATCTAATTCTTAAGCACAAATGATATCTGACTTTCTTTGAGTTTTATCGTGTGTGGACCAATTAGGAATAAAACATAACCAATGAGCAACGAGTCTTTTAAGTTTAATAAAACAGGAGAAATCATCGAATGACAACATAAAAGAATTTACTGCAATTAGAGCTTGAAGTGAGTTTTTCGTTTCGATAGGTGACGTTTGAGAATCAATACCAGATACTTCCCATGACTCTTCAGGAAAAGACAAGAATTGTGGACTATGCCACCAAAGATCACAAGTTTTAAGAAAAGAAGAGATTATTCCACGTGAAAGAAGATCAGCTGGATTTTGACTTGGGATGTCTCCCATTGCGAGCTTTGTCATTGATTGAGTCCCACTAATACGATTGGATACAAAGACTTTAATTAAATGAGATGATGTGTTTAACCAACCAAGAACTATTGTAGAATCAGTCCAATAGTAGATGTTTCGGAATTTAAGTTTCAATTATTTACTTTATTCACAAACTACGTCAATATAAAGGCTGTAGATAGTTCGAGATGAAGTATTGAAACTCGCTTGAGAGGAGCTACCTTTGATTTGGCAAATAATATGGTTACGGGTAGAGTGTCATCTACGTACATGTCATTAGAAATAATTTTTCATATGTTCATATGTAATCATGTCCACCGGTTTCATATTTTACTGTATTTAATTCGTAAAAATTTAAAGGTTTAGGTTGGATCAGATCTTCAAATTAGGTTCTTTATGCACCTTTAAGGTTCTATGAGAATTTGTCCATACTTTTTTGCTATATCTGCAGAAATGACGTTTGAATGCTGTCTAAAGCATAATATGATGAAAACAAGATCATATTCTATGTCTGGTCGTGGTTATATCATCTATAAATCATTGATAAAAATACCTAAATAATTCAAACGAACCATTGAAAATAACCCTAAAAACGAGTTGAGTCGTTAGACTTTCTTTAATAACTTGATGAGGAAAATAAAATTCTACTTTATTTGAAATACTATTAAATGGTTTACATGGCGTCATATTGTGTCCCATTGACAGGTGGAAGATAGAAGCTTGCGCTTTATAGTGTAAAAGTATTTAGTAGTAATTGTTTAAGAGTCACCTAGTTTGGACAAAGAACCATTGAGAGGCAATGATACAACAAATCTACCATCCGTTTGCCTGTGATAAATATTTTGAAAATGTGATTCGCAATCTTTTTCTTCTTGATACAGAGGTTTGGTAGAAAATAGAGATTTAACTTAAAGTTAGCACGAAATTTGATATCTGAAGACATATGAGTAATTCAAATAACAAAATTATTGATATTAGTCTTTGGGAGACCTAGGTTATCTAGAAGGTTTAAAATTACAAAATTTGATTGACTTGCGCTATCAAGAATGGCTTTGCAAGTATAAGCTTTATTATGTTGATCGAAAACTGTCGAATTTTAACTGTTGAAAGTAAACCTCCTTTGTTTTGCATACTAATATAATTTAAAAGAGAGGTTTGTGAATTAATATATCTCCTTAAAGTAATATAAACTTCTGATATTTCTATGAGTAGTATCGAATTATGTTTTCTTTTGCATTGTTTACAGTTACCATATTTAAATATACTGCTTGTATATCCAACATGCAAACAATTTTAACACAATGATCTTTTTTTGACTTCCTTCATGCGTGAATGAATATTAAGCTTAAGAAAATCCTCATAAATAGGAGAGAGGGGGGCACATGTGGACAAATTAAAAATAAAATATACTGCAAAATGAGATTCATTGTAAAGTATCGGCTTCTTCAATATAAGATTCACATATTTATGAGTCTTTGTCTTCTTTTTCTTCTTCTTCTTCTTCGTTGCGACTAGAATTACTCCTGTTTGTCTGCCTCTTATTATGTTTCACTCGTGGTTGACTGTACATTTTTTTTTTTCACCTTTTTGGCGGCCTTCCAACGGGTCTTTTGCTATATGGTTTGTTGTTTTTACAGATGTTCGCTAATATATCTGGTCCCATTCGATTTACATGTTCGTTCCAGTTTTCTTTTTCTTATTTTTATTCACCTGCTAATATTTTTAATTTTGCATTGTTCGCGTATACTTCTATTGGTTTGTCTGTCTCTTAATGATATGTCCGCTATTGATCTTAATACTTTCATTTCGATATTGTTGATTTGTTGTTTTCCTTGTCTTTCTTGTATCGGTCCTTGTCTCCGCTGCATCTGTTAGGATTGGTCTTACTGTTGTCTTGTATGCTTTTATCTTGCTTTACGTGGTCAGATATTTGTTTCTCCATATGGTTTCTCGAAGGCAACCACTTACTCTTGCCGCTTTTGATGCTTGCCTTGTGGTCTCTGTTCTTATATCTCTGTCACTAGAGATCTCTAGTCCTGGTAATTGTATTTCATTACTTATTCTTCTTTTGGCGTCTATTTCTAGTTTGCATTTACGCGGCTCTTTACTGATCACTATACATTTAGTTTTTTCTACTGATATTCTCATATTAAGTTTGTTTGCTGTGATATTAAAGGTGTGGAGCTGCCTTTGTAGATCATTTTCGTTATCAGCAATTAGTACTGCATCATCGGCATAGCATAGTATCGTGATTTTATGCGCTCAGGTGTGGTATCCTGTCGTTTTCTAACTTCGTGAATTATTTGATTCATCACCATATTGAATAACAATGGGCTGAGCGAGTCTCCTTGGCGAATTCCTTCTTTTAGTTATATGCATTATTTTTCTCTTGTTGGCATTATAACTCTGATATTGTTGTTCTTGTTAATTTCAATAATTGTCAATCAATTACTATTTATAACTGGGAATAAGCCACAATTAAAGATAAAAATACGTTTATTGACGTTTCAATTTCCAATTCGGAAATCGTTCTCAAAATACAAACAGTAAATTAAACAAATTTTGTTTTTTGTTACATAGTGAAAAAATTCTTCTAATAAATTAATTTTATCTGACTCATTTATATTGACAATTCAGACATTCATTATGCATTTTAAAGTAGACGACTTTAAAATGATATTGCCAATATTGTTGAGTTGCGCTCCTGGGACGACTTTACTTATAAGATAGTTCATTCGATTACATGAAATCAACTTTAACTTGAGAATATCCGTCAGAAAAAATCATAGCATGTAATTCGTCTTTAAAAAGACAAACACATGGCATGATGACAGTAAAATTCTCCTGTTAGTGATTCCATAGTAAATTGTGAGGGAATTATAAATAGTAATTAATTTACAATGCCACAAGAAAATAGCTTCAGAACAAAATCAATAATTGTCCTTATTATCTGTTGGTCTATTTGTTTAGCTTGTAATAAATTTAAGATGTCATTTCGCTTTACCCTGTCAAAAGCACTTTTTAAATCTACAAAGCACATGTATGTTGGTTTTCCATATTCAATAGACTTCTCTATTTGTCTGATAATAAGATTTGTTGCGGTTCTTCCGAAAGCCTTGTTGTTCATCTGCCATGTTCGCTTTTTCCTCGATTTTATCTTTTATGACTGCCGTTAACTATTTTAATATACCATTCATTAGACCAATGCCTCTATAAATTTCAGGATTTCTCGAGTCTCCCTTTTTAAGTATCGGTAGCAGGAGACTTTCCTTCCATTCCGCTGGTACTACTCCGGTATTTATTATATCGACGAATAATTTTAGGAGCCATTTGCATAGTGTTTTCCATATTTTAGCAGTGAGTCTGTGTGTACATTTAAATTTGGCAGTAAATAAATTATTTAAGGCACGTGCATTAAATTCCAAGTAGATGCAATTAGTCCACATCTGCCTCTCAGAGAGGCACATGTGGACAAGATAATATTTTCTACGGGGCATATATGGACACAGATTTTAATGGAAATAAAATAATAACGTTTTTTTATAATTGCAACTTTAAATATTTATTTAACATAATACATTGAATTATCCCATAATATACTCATGAAAATTAACGGAAAACCTAAAAAAGAAACTGGATCTTGCTGTCCTAATTTTTTTCAGGTGCTGGCAATTTTCTCATAATTTCGTTTGCAGAAATATGACTCTCATCCTTCTTATCTGAAAATACAAAATCTCTTCTAATTTCTTTTCGATCTGATTAACAAAGAATTTAAGTGTATTTTTTTGTAGCAAATTGAATGAGAACAAAATCCCTTTTCTGGATATTCGTAAGATTTAATCCAAAATCTTTACCATCTTCAGTCAAAAAGTTTGCGAATATGGGAATTGGATTTTTTCTTATCTATATTGCTCGCCTTTCTTTTCTGATCCCGTTTCTCTTTTTTCTTTTCTCTTTTTTTATTTTCTAGTCTATTTTTTTCTGATGTAGTGGCCAGAATGGTTGAAATTTTTTTTTTCATCTTTTCTTAGAACTTATTCTCTCAACCTTTGGTATAGACGAATTTGTTCCAGAGTAAGTCTTATATCGGAAATAATTACAATTTTGGAACTTTGTTTTTCGGTAGGTAAAACAGGTATGACTCTTTATATCGCACTCGTGGGAAGATATAAACAGGTGGAATAGCATTTCCATTGGTAACGATTATTTTAACAAACGTCA